TCTCCCTTTTAGGATAATGCTGTCCAACTGAGGCTAAGAACTTCTGTTTCAGAGCGAGTCAAAGTAGAGGATAGATGGCCTTGAGAAGTGGTGAGCTTCTTGTCCCCAGGGGCATTCTAGCCAAGGCTGGCTGAGAACTTGGCAGAGATAAACAGATTTCCTCATTCTCCTCTGAGGTCCTGTCTTACCTGAGACACTAAGAATTTTGTAACAAAATTGTATTCAAATATTTTCATGCCTCCAAGCTTCAAATCTCCCAAGGGCTACTGTCTCCCCAGGGCCCAGGTCCTGGCTCTCCCTCTCTTTAACCCCTGCCCAGGGCTGGGCACACAGGGGGTCAATGAGTAGGTGCCCTGAGTGCCACCCTGAGGGGAGGAAACCCTGGCCCAGGCCTCCCTGCCCTTTGCAGGGCCTGGCTCTTTCTGCCTGGGCCCAGGGGATCTGCAGAGCCAGCGCCAGGCACCAGATTAGGCAGGAGCTGAAGACTGACAAATTCTCTCCTGAAAGATGGGACACAAGAGGGGAGCCAGCTTTACAGCTTCTGCCGTGGCCCTGTGCCACCCCTCCCCTATCATAAACACCTCCAAGTGGGCAGCTGTGTGTCCCAGGCACGGATTAAATAACTTGTTGCTTCAAACGTGGGGCCACCCCACTGCTTGGGGGTCACAGGCTGGCCCTCTGGGTTTTCCAAGCTGTACCCCAGGGCGCAGTCCTGGGCTGAGGTTCAGCCCATGGTTGTTCTCCCCTGGCTTCGGGGACCCGGACCCTTCCCTGACCTCCAGCTTGATGTGAACTCACATCAGGGTGATGTGACCTTTGCCGTCCCCTCTGCGGAGGGCGCTCTGACCAGTTCCTCCATCTCAGGTTTCATCTATTTCAGGGCCCCGCGCGGCCGGGCACACTGATGGGATGGTTATTTTGGAGTTTGCTGGTGGCCTGCAGCTGCTCCTGACCCCGAGGGGTGGAGGGGATGGGAGAGAAGACATACTTGGGCTGGGCACTGGCCCCAGAGATTCCATTTTTAGCCGTTTCCCAGCATCTCCTGTACCTCCTCTCCTAACTCCTGTGATATTTCAACAAAGGCCAAAAGGATCTCTTTCCTACCCCTTCCCCTCTCTCTCTCTTTGCCCACTGTTTCTCCTTCTTTCTCTTCTTTTGTCTCTGATCATCATTTGTAGCTTCTCCTTCCTGGTCTTTAGTCAGTAATGTCAATGATTTTGTCCTGGGTGCTTGTCATGACTGATGGGAAGTCCTAGGTTCAAAAAGTTAGTTGTCTGAGTGCAGGTGGACCTGACTTTGGTTGATAAACTCAACCTGAGAAAATGGTAATAACTGAAGTTATCAAGTATCCAGGTGCCAGGGGCTTCTCAATCTACCTCTGATCCCTGCGACAACATCGCAAAGCAGGTATTAGTGTACCCCTGTTCTCATGGTGAGTGATAGGGGGCTGGAGGACAGTTGCTTACCCACAGGCCACCAGCCAAGTGCTGGATCAGACATTTAAACCCAAAGCCCATGCATATTCTTCTGAACCATGTAGCATGAAAACAATAACAATGGCTCATATTAACCTCGTGATTATTATGTGCCAGGGACTCTACTGGGTGCCCTAGGTACTGTATTCCACCTCATCTTCTCAGCATCCCTTCCGAGGGGAGTATTAGAGTCCATATTTTATACCAATAAGTAAATGCCGATTTCACTGCTGAAGAAGAGAGTCCCAGAGGGGTTAAGCTATTTACCCAAGGTCATATGGCCAGGAAATGGCAGAGCTAGGATTTGAACCCAAGCTGATGACTTCAGAGTCCTTGCACTTAACTGTGCTCCTGTCTTGCCTACCAGTATATGGATTTTGTTAACCAAAAAACCTAAAATACTTTTAGGTTGCATTATTAGAAGTATAGTGTACTTATCAGAGGAAGTGTGATGGCCACATTGTGCCTTGAGCTGGCCAGGGCACATCTGGAATCCTGAGTCTGGTTGTGTTCATTGTCGAGGAGGTGGGAAGGTGTGTGGGGAGTCTGAGTATTCCCTGAGGAAAGCAGTCCTCAGTGTGGGGCTGAGAGGCAGCCCCAGGGGTAGTAGGTATAAATACAGGGCGGTTATGACTGAGCCCTAGAAGGTAAACTGTATAAGGAGCAACACATGATAGGTGTGTGATTATATGTACAGATTTGTGTGGAGTGATCATTTTATTTAGGTTGATACGCAGGCTACTCATTTTCATTATCTAGCAATTTTGTATAAAAATAGCAAGTCACTTGTAAACACTGCCGGAATATTTTCTAGCTGGTTTGTAATTTTCTAAGAGTGATTTTGTTTGTGTTTGTTGTCGTGGTGGCGGTTCTCGTGTTGATTTTTATAAGTGTAGATCTGTAAATTCAACTGCAGTATTTAAAGCTTCAGCATTGACACCTTGTGTGTATGAGAGGAGGGATTTGAAGGAAGATGCCTTGAAGAGTGAGTTGGGTGGCAGTTGGCAGTTGTGGGAATTTCTTTTCCTATCGGGTATGTGATTTTGTCAAAAGGAAGTATTTCTCCCAAAATTGGGAGTAGGCAAACTACCAATCAGTTAAGTTTTGTGTGTATGCTAGTTTAAAAAAGATAATATGTAATATAATGTAAAAAAAAAAAAAAAAAGCTTTTATGGTAGATTTTGTAAATTTGTTACAGGGTAACCTGTTTTCTAGCTGTGATCTTACCACTTCAGATGGGTGTAATTTGAATAAGTTTTGTATGGTAAAGGATCAATAAAATGACTTTTTTAAGAGTTCAAAAAAAAAAATACAGGGAGGTAGATTTCAGTTTAAGAGTAGGAAACATTTTCCTAAAGACAGAGTAGCTCAGCAGTGGCACTGCTGGGAGGTAGTGGGTATATCCAAGCAGAAGAGGACTCCTGAAGGGGCAGAGAACAGGAGAGAGCTCACATTCCAGCCCCATTCAGGAATCTGTTCTGAGCGTCTGCCCAGCTCCATGGGCTCTGGCCTGATTGTCCTGAGCGTGTGGGGTGGGCTGGAGAGAGGAGTGTGGGGTGTGTGTGTGGGGGGGCCCCCATGACGGCCTTGTTCCCATAGGCCCGGCTGGGCATCTCTGAGCCACTTGTTTCCTCCTCACCCTGTTTCCCCATCCCTTCTCCTCTGTCCCCAACCCTCTGGACTCCTCAAGGGCCGCTGACTGGAATCCCTAAGGGGTAGGGGAGCTGAGGCTGTTTCCTGGGGTCCAGGTCAGCCCACAGCCCTCCTCAGCCCCCCACTATTGTCTCCCATGTCTTGCCCTCCTCGCCTCTGCCTCTCCGCAGCCCCCCAGCTTCTCTGCACCATTACTGTCACAGAGTCAATTCCCTGGAATAATCACATTTTCCGGTCTGCTCCCTCCTCCTTGCCAAACACGGTGCTGGGAATCCTGACCAGCCAGGCCCCAGGAGGCTTCTCCAGAGAAGCAGGAGCCTTGTGGGGAGGGCTGGCCCAGCACCCTCTCCTTGCTGGGGTCCAAACAACACTGTTCCTGGAAAGGGCAGGGGAGCTGGGGGAGAACAAAGAGAGAGAGGCTTTAGAGAGCGTCTCTAGATTCAGCTGGGGCTGAGTTCTGGCCTCTGAGGCCCCTACCAGTCCAGTCCCCCAAGCTTTACTCTCACACCAAGCACTCCAGCAGCCCTTACTCAGTTCCTGGAGAGAAAGCACAGATTCTCCCTGGGGGAGGCTCAGAGAAAAGCCTCCTGAGAAGGGATTGGCCCATGATGTGAGCTGCGGTGGTACTAGCCAAATTTAGGGACTCCCACAGAAAGGGTTCAGTAAACGAGGAGGGCCCGAAAGTGGAGAATGTGGCGTTGGGAGTTGGACAGATCTTGCTTTAATCCTGGATCTGCCACTTCGTGGCTGTCACATAACATCTCCGAGCTTTATCTGTACAATGGAAACAACTTCATGGGATGCTTTAAGGATGAAATGCAGGGGTAATTCATTGCAACTGATGACTTTTATTACAAATTATAGTACTCCATAAAGCAGAGATAACCAGCCATTAAAAAAGTATGGTATCAAAAACATGGTTATTAGTGTAGAAAGGTATTCAGGACACAGTAAATGGAAAAGCTAGTTTTGAAAAGAAAATTTGTATAGCAGAGTTCTTCACCTGGAGTCGATGCCCTGAAATTAACCACAGAATTTAGGGAGAAAGTGCATTTTTCTGAGAAGATAGATAAAAGTTGCCACATTTTCAAAGAGATATATAGTTTAAAACTACTGGCATTTATATAGCATGATTCAATTTTTGTTTTTAAAAAAGAAATAACTAAAATATATTGAAAAAAGGCTGGAAACTCATATATCCAAATATTAATAGTATTTTCCTATGGATGGTGGGCTGACAGATTACTTTTTCTTTTTGATGAACTGTCTTTTCTACAAAATACAGTCTGTATTACTTGTATGAGTAAAAAGAGAAAGGGTTTGATTTCCAGTTGTCAGTTTTGAAAGGATAGCTTGGATAAATTCACTTAACTTCTCAGCCTCAATGTCCTTCCGTGGCAGTAACTTCACAAGGTAATTGTTGGGGTAAGAACGTCTCTCTGCCATTTGTGCAGAGAGGCGTTCTAGGGAGGGGGGGTTCTCTCTGGCCTCCCAGACGGGTAGGATGTCAACATGCATTCAACAAATATTATTTACTGCTGCCTTCTAAGTGCCGGGTGCTCTTCTGGCTGCTGGGATAAAAAGGGAGGGCCCCAGGAGTTAGAAAAAAAATCCAATTTTAATAAGCATACTATTTAGAAGTAATCATGTTTTTAGTTTTGGTGTCCTTCCTGCCGGCCTTGATCCTTTGCTTAAACAAATACGTAGTTAGAAGTCCTGCACGACGTTATGTCCTAGCATTTTCTGTGCCATTAGAAACCCGGTGCGTCTTACTGCTGCGCGCTTTAAAGACCAGTGGGAGGAGGTGCGCAGGCGATGGGGACTGGGCGCTGTGGACCGCGTGATGGTCACCCTGTCTCCCTCTCGCCGCAGACAGCGAGCTGGTGCTACCGGACTGCGTGCGGCCGCGCTCTTTCACCGCCCTGCGGCGGCCGTCGCTGCGACGTGAGGCCGAGGAAGCGCGCCTCTCCGTGAGCCTGTGCGACCTCAACGTGCCGGGCGCCGACGGCGACGAGACCACGCCGGCCGCTGGCTGCCCCATCCCGCAGAACTCGCTCAACTCCCAGCACAGCCACGCTCTGCCAGCGCAGCTCGACGGCGACCTGCGCTTCCACGCGCTGCGCGCCGGCGCACACGTCCGCATCCTGGACGAGCAGACAGTGGCGCGCCTGGAGCATGGGCGCGACGAGCGCGCGCTCGTCTTCACCAGCCGGCCCGTGCGCGTGGCCGAGACCATCTTCGTCAAGATCACGCGTTCGGGCGGCGCACGGCCTGGCGCGCTCTCCTTCGGCGTCACCACGTGCGACCCCGGCACGCTGCGGCCAGCCGACCTGCCTTTCAGCCCCGAGGCACTGGTGGACCGTAAGGAGTTCTGGGCCGTGTGCCGCGTGCCCGGGCCCCTGCACAGCGGCGACATCCTGGGCCTGGTGGTCAACCCCGACGGTGAGCTGCACCTCAGCCACAATGGCTCCGCGGCGGGCATGCAGCTGTGCGTGGACGCCTCGCAGCCGCTTTGGATGCTCTTCGGCCTGCACGGGGCCATCACGCAGATCCGCATCCTCGGTGAGTGCCCCCGGCCACGTGCCCGCCTCCCCCCAGGTGCACCTGGAGGCTGGCGCCTCCAGACCCAGCCTTCCCTGGAGGAGGGGCGTGTCTGGGTAGGGGGAAAGAGCGCCCACCCCGCCCTTCATGGGGTCTAGTCAAGGAGTCACAGACACCGAAGATGAGTTCTGGGTGGGACTCAATTATCTAGTCCATAGTTCTCAGATCTCACCAGATAAACCCTGGAGAGGAGGAGAAAAGCGGGGAACATTGAGTCTCACGCTCAGAATCTGATTCACCCACATTCCCACAGATACGTAAACAGTTCTCTTACACATTGCCCAGTGGCCATTTAAAAATGGGGAAAAAGAAAATGGTTTCCACCAGCAGCGAACTTTTTGAGGTTCAGTTTCCATTTCTCCTAAAATGGTAATAAAGGCTCTAAGGGTGGTTGTGTGTCTAAATAAGAAAAAGAGGTTGGTATGTCAGTAGCCAGGTATCTCTGCAGGGTGGTGCCTAGATTGGGGGTCTGTGGGGAATCCCCGAGCAGAGGGCCTTGGAGGAAAGGGGGTTGCAGATGTCTTCGTGGGCCTTCGTGGGTTTGAATGGACAGAGTTTGAATGGACTGGGTGATGCGGACTTGTGTAAGCCATGTTTCCCAGAGTGTTCTGCAGGGTAGGTGTCCATTGAAAACGGGTCCTTGGGTCCAAAATGTTTGGGAAATAATGAGTTTTTAAAAAGAAGGCGATTCTTGGGCTTCCCTGGTGGCGCAGTGGTTGAGAGTCCGCCTGCCGATGCAGGGGACACAGGTTCGTGCCCCGGTCCGGGAAGATCCCACATGCCGCAGAGCGCCTGGGCCCGTGAGCCATGGCCGCTGAGCCTGCGCGTCCGGAGCCTGTGCTCCGCAACGGGAGAGGCCACACTAGTGAGAGGCCCACGTATGGCAAAAAAAAAAAAAAGAAGGCAATTCTTTACTGTAGAACTTCTCAGAGCCTTTAATATACAATGTGAACCTTTAGGAGAAGGTGGTGGTGGTTATGGTGTCCAGCTTTTCCAAGCTCGTTTGACCAGAAATCTTTTTTTTTACGTGTATCTTCAGGAACCTCTGTTACCCCAGAGTGAGCAGGTGTTCATGCTTTCCAAGTGCTGGTCTGCTCTGCGGCAGCATTAGACTCACTCGGAGAACCTACCATAGAGCAGATTCTTGAATCCCACCTCCAGAGATTTTGATTCTGTAGATCTCAGATTAGGTCCTGGGCATCTGAATTTTTTTTTTCCTTAGCAAGTTTGCTTAGACACATTTGGAGACCCCTGGGTCTCACAGCCCCTGACCTAGACCTCACCCCAAGAGGCTTCATAGACAAGGTAATTGTGTGTATGTGAGTGAGCATGAGTTTACGCTGTAAGATTGGCATACTGTGTCTAGGCACACGTGAGTAACTAAATGTATGCGTATTTGTGTATGTAATGCTGTTGGTGATTGTGAGAGTGTGTGAGAGTTTTGTGAAATCAGATAAAATCAGTGGAGACTTCCTCTGGAAAGAGACCAAATGAAGATGGAGTGTAAAATAAATTTAAAAAGGAATGAAAAGAAATGGGGCTGGGGTGCTAAGAAGTTAGGATTGAGGGAAGATAAGTCAGGAAGGAGGTGAAAAGAAATCAGGCTAGATGAAAAGTCATCAATCAGTAAGGAAAGAAATTGGGGTGAAAATTCAGGATGGAATAAAATCGGACTGGGGTGCAGGAAAAAAATCAGGTTGAGGTACACAGATATTTGGCTACGTTCACCAGGAGACACTGTTCCTCAGAGGAAGGAAGTAACATAATGGCAAGGTACTCTCTTGCCTCAGCACCATCTAATAATAGATAAGTAGCTTTCCAGTGAAGCTTCTGTTGCCCAAAGAAGCTTACTAGACTGGAGCAAAGGAGAAGCTTAAAAACAAACAGAAACAACCCAGGACTTAAATGTCCCCAAAGGGAAGTAGGTCAAGGTGGGTGTTGAAGAATAACCATTCAGAATTTAATATATGCTAAACAGATGCTCCTGAGCTGTTTGGAGAATAGGGCATCTCAACTAACAAATTGGTGTTCGGGGATCCTGACTGACTTTAAAGGAAAAACAAATCAGTAACAATGTGTGAAGGATAATTATTTACCTTATAGAGGAATGCTTTGCTTTGTTGAAGGCCTAAGTGAAGTAAGAATGAAAAGATATTTCCTTCACTCCAAAACTACAGTCAATTTCATGCTTAATGGTGAAACATTAGAAATATTCTTATTAAAGTCAGGAATATGATAGAGATGCCTTATAGTATTGTTCCGAAAATGCTAACCAGTGCAATAAAGCAAGAAAATCAAATAGAAGTTACACATTTCTGAAAGGGGATGATAATTAACTTGAAACCTGTTAACAATAATAAGAGAAATCCTATGGACAGCTAATGAATATTCTTAGAAACAGTGACTATTAAGTGAATTAGAATGAATAACTAGTAATAAGAAATATCTCACTGGGCACTTATTTATGTGTAGGGCATTATATTAGGGCCTGTGGGAGACTTACAGGTGAATCAGACTTCCTGGTTTCAGGAAGGTCAAGGTTTAAGTAGGGAAACAAAGTTACGTTCCTGGGCAAAGAACAAATAATTTCCTATCCTCTGTGGTTTTTTATTTCCATGCATGGCGTGTGTGGCTGGTCAGTGCTAGATAGAGATATGTGGTTGTCGGGGGGGGGGGGGGGGTCAAGGCTGTCCAGAGGAGGGGGTTGAGGATAGCCCCAAGAGGCTCCCTGGACAGTTAGCTCTTTGAAGGCAAAGGCTCTGTCTGCCTCATTCCCAGTTTTATATATACACAGTGTCTGGTACCTGGTAGGCTGTCAGCAAGGACTTGTTGAAGGGAGGAGGCAGGGAGGGATGGAAGGGAAGAGGAAAGTGAGGGAAGAAAGGAAGGAAAGAAGGTTGGGCAGATCAAGTGTGGGAGATGGTGTGGAGTATTTCGAAGGTGCCAATGCAGAGGAGAAGGGGGGTGATAGCACGGGGCTCTGACTAGGATGGTGAGGCCAGGGCTTGAAGGGCCATGCTAGGTGGGAGGACGGCGACTTTGTTCTCTGGCATGGGAAACCTTGAAGGTGAGGGAAGCATGGGGAAGGGTGGAGGTGGGATTCTAGGCAGGGGGCTTGTTTGGAGACGGCAGATGCAGTAACACCAGAGCATGATGCGTGTGGCCCTCCAATTTGTAGGCGGGAACAGAGAGCTGGGGCAGGGTGCTGAGCCAGTCGGTGGAGTCCCACCCTGAGCCTTATGGCTGGGCCGTGTGGTCAGGCTGTACCACCCATTTCTCTCCTGGGAACCTAATAGAGGGGTGGAGATTCGCGCTTTCTCCCAGTGGGCCTCTGAGTGGCTAGTGTGTCCCTCCCTCTTTCCCACCCTTTCTGCAGGCTCCACCATCCTGGCAGAGCGGGGCATCCCGTCACTCTCCTGCTCCCCTGCCTCCACACCAACCTCACCCAGCGCCCTGGGCATCCGCCTCTCTGACCCCTTGCTCAGCACATGCAGCTCTGGACCTCTGGGGAACTCTGCTGGCGGTAAGTAGGCTGACCCCTCCAGTTCCATGGTGACCATGCCAGGCCTCCCACCCTGAGGACCCCATCCTCACCCTTGCCCTGGCTGAGGCAGGCCTGCAGCCTCTGTATCAGGACTGGGCCCTGGAGGAGCTGGAGATGGGCCCAGTGAACCCTGGTTGAGTGCTAATTTCCGGGTGTATCCCATCCTTTCCCCCGGCTGGGCAGCTTTCTCCAAAGGACTTCTTTAGCACAAAGAACACCAAAGGGTAACTCAGGAGGGGCCTTCCTTAAATGGTTTTGGGCCCCCTTCCTTCCTCCATCCCTCCCTCCTCCTCTCAATGCCTCATGGACACCCTGGCCCCTGGTCTGGGCACTGAGGGGCCAGAAGTGGGGCTGTCCAGAGAGTATCCTCTCCTCTCTTGTGCCCAGGAAGTTGGGTGGTAGGTTAGGCAGGCCGATCCTGATAAACGGAGGGGGAGAGGCCAGGGGGCTCTCTTCATGAACCTGGGACCAGACTGGGCCATGTCTCCTCCTGACTGGTTTCCCCTTGCCCCCAGGGACGGCCCCCAACTCACCTGTGAGCCTGCCAGAGTCGCCAGTGACTCCAGGCGGGGGCCCGTGGAGCGATGAGTGCACCATTTGCTATGAGCACGTGGTGGACACGGTCATCTACACATGCGGCCACATGTGCCTCTGCTATGCCTGTGGCCTGCGCCTCAAGAAGGCTCTACACGCCTGCTGCCCCATCTGCCGCCGCCCCATCAAGGACATCATCAAGACCTACCGCAGCTCCTAGCCCGTCGTGGTGCCCTACCCCTCACGCCCACCTCCTCAGACCCCGGCCCAGCTCTACCTGAGGGGCAAGTCAACAGGGCCCCTTCTCTTCTTCCTCATTTTGGAAATTCTTTTCCCTTCTCATTAAACATGGGAAACAGCCCCTAAAGGTTTGGGGGAGGAAGGGGTATCAGGCAGGGAGGTGGGGGCAGAAGCAAACCGCCTGCTCTTCCCTGCACGCCGAGGGGCTAAACTGGGGTCTCAGCTTCTCCTGATCCTTCCCCATCCGGGGTAGATTCCCAGGAGGTCCTTCTAGCCTGTGTGGCACCTTTGTGAGAATTAGAAAGTGTGTCCCTTCCTCTGGGCAGATGTGGCCCTGAGCCCAGACATGTGGCTTGGCTAGTGGAGTGTGGACTTGGACTTCAGCCTCCGTTTTCTCCCTCAGCCAACTGCCCTTGAGCAGTGCACAACCTGTGCAACAGCAGCCCTAGGCCGGCAGCTCCTGAGCTGCTGCCTTACTCTCTGACCTACACCTACCTTCTCCTTCCTTTCTTCCTTGCCCCTTGGGCCTGGAAGCCAGGGGTAAGAAGGCCAGTGGATACCTCTCATCCTGGGCAGGCTGCAGCCTCCATGCCATGTCCATCTCCCCCTCCCCCTGGGTGGGTGGACAGACAGGCTACAGAAGCCTCCAGGCTCTGGGTCCCTAGCCCCCTGGCCTGGTTGAGATGTGGAGGGCCCCTTTCTGGTCAGAGCCTGTCTGCCCCAGGCATCTTGCTGGATGCCACTGCCCAGGGGCAGCCCCTTGGTGTGGGCTGGAGAGCAGGGTCTGTCTTCTGTCAGGGGTCTCTGAAGAACAGAGACCCTCTGTGACCTCTCCTCCCCCATTTCAGTGCTATTCTGGGCCGGGCTGGTACTCATAGAGGCTGTAGCATCCCCAGGAGAGGGCAGGGCCCTGGGTTGGGAGTAGGGCGCTCCCTGGAGTAAGAACAGGCTTTTTCCGTATTTTAACTTATTTATTTATTGGGTTTGTAGGGGTTATTTGGCAGGGGGGCGGGACTGAATTCCCATCCCCCAGACCCCTAGAAATGCTGTCCTGGTGGGTGGAGTGCCTGGTTAGAGGGGTCAGCAGAGGTAGTCATCACTCAAAATCTTCCCCAGACTGCAGCCCAGAAGTCCATAGCCAGCTCTGCTTACCATGAAGTAGAACTCCAAAGGGGCTGAAGTGGGAGGCCTTCTGACAAATTGTATCCCTTTTATAGAGAGGGCAGCAGAGCCTCTGCAGTGCCCTGGGACTAGGGGATCACCCCAGAGCCACAAAATGCCCTTCTTCTTGGGCTGGAGCAGGGTTATCATAATTGGCTCATTATACATCACGAGGCCCAGGAGTTCCCTCCTCCATAAGGACATAAAAAGTTCTGGGCAAGCTGAGGGAGGGAAGGCCAGCTGGCCTCATCATTGTAGGGGTAGGGAGCCTGTTCTTAGGCTCTCTGGTCCCAGGAAAGAGGAGAACCTCTAGGTTCTTAGTCCTGATGCTGGGGTGAGGGAGTCCCCCCCGCAGCTGCTCTTAGGTTATAGTCATCTCAGCCCTGCACGCCCTGTCCTGATGGCCATGGCTGGGGCCAGCTCTCAGAGTCCTGGCCTAGTTGCCCCCGAGCCTCCCAGCCCTCGGCCCCCTCAGATAGTTTTTTGCGCCTGTCGGAGACTGCTTTGCCATATGGCTGGCAGAGCGCGGGATTCTGGACCTGGCCACTGCCCAGTTGTGTGGCCCCGACCAGGTCACAGCCTCTCTGAGCCTCAGCTGGCACCTCGGTAAAGTGATGGTTGGGGTCGGGAGGGACTTTCTTTGTGACTCTCGGGGGTTCTCTGGTGGGGGCTGCTATGGGGTGGTGTGGTGGGACAGCACAGGGAGGGGGTCAGGATGCCAGGCGGGCCCTGTCTGCACCTGCCTGGCCGGGAAGCCACAGTCCTACCATGGGTCTCCCCTCCCCACTGACCCTGTAGACCCCTTCTGTGGGAGGGGGGGCGAGGTGGGGCTGGTGTGGCCCCACCCAGTCAGGGGTCCCCTCTCAGACAAGGAGAATTCTTACATGCAGGGGCTGTACAGCCTGCGCGCCAGGGAGAGGAAGCCACCGTCCTGTTGTCTCTGCTAGCCTGGGGGTAGCTGCTGCCTCCTCTGTGAACCTGGGTCACCGTGACTGATTGTGAATAAAGGTGATTTCGTACCAGCCTGAGGGCTGTGCTGTGCAGTCTGGAGGGCTGGGGACGGAGGGCAGGCGGGCAGGTGGGTGTGCAGGAGGGGAGTCAACGATCAGGAAAGATTCCCTGGAGAGAGCAGGGGAGGGGGAGGCGGCTGGAGCGTGACCTGGGGCTTGGATAGCAGGGGCTATCCAAGCAGAATGCCAGGCGAGCCCCACTGTAAGCTGAAAGGGAGACGCTACTGCCCCTCGGTGGCCTCAGGTCCCTGGGTCCGTGGCACTCCCGAGGCTGAGCCGGGTCTAAATCTGGAGTGCAACCTTTGTGGAGGGGCAGCGCCACCTAGGGGCTAAAGGGCGGCAGGCACTGTGCTGAGCTCCCCAGAACAGGGCCTGCCCGGCTCTCACCTGAAGCCCAGACCTGGAAGCTCCGCTGCTGCTCCCACTGGTCGGTGAGGAGGCCTATGCCAAATGAGTGGCACAGCTGGGCTGAAAAGGGAGGCCTCGGTCAGGGACCTTCGGAAAAACTTTCTAGATGGGCTGAGCACCTCTGGGTGGCGGTAGAAGCTGGAGCGCTGGACGGGGTCTGGGCACGATGTGGGAGTTGAACTCATTTGGCAGGCTGGGCCTCAGAGGGACATGGGATGCTTGCCTTCCTCTCTCCTGGGAGGATGCTCTAGCTGCCCAGCCTCTGCTTGGCCTTGAACAGCCATGGGCTACTCCCCACACCAGGACTGCCCAGCCCTGCTTACTGGAGTCCAGCAAAAGTAGGGGAGGGTCAGGGGCTCTAAGCTGAGGGGCCATGTAGGCCCACTGAATGTGGCTCTTCGGCCCCAAGATCTGTATCCCTCTCTAAAAGCCTTGGCCACTGCCCAGAAAGCCTCCCAAAGGTGGGGGAGGGGTGGAGGGGCTTGAGCACGCTTCTCACCGGCAACAGTGGGAACTTACCTGTCCCCCCACCCCTCCAGTGTCCTCAGAGGGCCCGGACCCTGCAGGTCATGGTTCATTTGGGGTGATGTGGCTTTTGCCACTCAGCTGGGTATGTTTCCTTGTGGCAGGGAGAATCAGGAGGTGATTCTGTTCAGTTAAAAAGGCAAAAACTTTATTTAGTTTTCAGGGAAATACAAGATGCATGTAAACATAAACAAAATACAAACCAACCCAAATCTTACAGTCTAGAAGCATGCCAAGACAGAGTATTTTCTGCAGACCAAAGAATCCCGTCAAAATGATAAAAGACACCTGGAAAGCGGCAGGTCAAGGGGCTGGGTCCCTTCCCCGAGGACGCTGCATTTTTGTGATGAGAACAATTCAAAAAAAAAAAACAAAACCCACTATTAAAAATATTAGAAACATGGAGAGAGTTTAGCACCACCATTGAGCCTGGAAATTTTTTAGCACTCAGATTGACAGCACTGGAGTCACTGCCCTTAAATTTCTCTGCTGAGGGGGAAGAGGGAACAACCTCCTTCAGACCCCACAGACCCCACTAGGAGCTGGGAGGGGTTGAGTGGACACCGTGAGGAGTGCCCCAGAGGCATCCAGCAGTTCACATGCAACCATGCAGTGCACAAACCCACGCTTCACGAACCTGCCACTAACACCTGCCTTGTTCAGAAGTCCCCTTCATGCAGACCTCCTGTAAACTGGCCCTGAAACCCTTTTGCCATCCTGTGTCCTGGATTTAAAGAAAACCTGTTGCAGAGAACAAGCTGTAGATTCAAGAACCGTGGCTCTGTTTACCCTTCTTTCTCTGAAACGCTAAAGAGCAGTATGCCTTGGTCACAGGCCACTAAACATGATGAGTGCACTGCACTCCATCTTCTGAGTCACACCACTGAGGCAGGCTCAGCAAACTGAACCACCACAGGCATCATTAGAGCTACTTAAGAAGAACTGGTGTCAACAGAAGAGCAAACGAAGTTGTCTTCCTCCCAGATATGCTTGATGGTGTCTGGACCCCAAGGTTCCAGTTTGGGGGTGGTGGGTCCCAACTACATGACCCGTTATGGTCACTGGTCTCTGATTCAAGCAATTTGAGAGGCTAGCTCTGGATTGGACAAAGGGAGGCGGGGAAACCCAGCCTGGAAACGGAGAGATGGATGAATGTTCTGGAGCCAGGGCCTCAAACTCGAAGACTGGTTTGTTGCTGACAACTTCCCGCTTTCCACTAAGTAAATCAATGACCATTAAGAACCCGCTGGGGACCCAGCTTGTGGCCCAGCAAGTAGCTGTTTCCTGAGGCCAGCTTCTTCTAACAGCCGAATCTTGGGGCTTTCCCAGCCTGTTCTGGCTGGACCCTTGGGTGTTGAATCACTAAACTCCCTCCCTACCTGCTGTCTTCTTCCTGAAACACTCAGAGTAGACTTCCTCCTCCTTTCTAATAAAGACAAAACTCCAGACTCCAAACCCTCTCTCAACCTTCTCATACTCTTCCCTTTCTGCCTAGCAGACCTCCTCTCTGGAAGCCTCCTTCTTGGGGAAGGGGCGGTAAACCCCAGCCACCCCAAACACGCGCACACTCATCTTGCCGACGTGCCTCTCACTCACCTCCAACGTGCTCGATCCATACTTTTGCTTTAAAACGACAATTCTTCCTTTCTCTCTTGCCTCCTGAGGTCCAGCCCATTAGCTAGGATGGAAATGGGAACAAAGGAGGGACCTTCATCGTAGGGACCCATTCTCTAAGGCCACTAAGTTCTGGAATGGGAGAGGGGGCTGATTGTCAAGGTCAAGTGCAAACTCAAGGTTAAAAAGATAGGCTCCGGGAAGGGGGATGGCATGGTAAAACCAACATTATAGGCAGCTTGGGACCAAGGGCCAGGAAGACAGAGTCCTCTACCCAGTCTATAAGCACCAGTGTGCCCAACTTCTGGCCTGAGGACCCAGGTGCACAGGACAAAACAGGAGGGATGCTATTATCAGTGGGGCTCTTTTTCCTGAAGTGCAGCTATAGGTCACTGACCCTGTTGTGTCACTGGCTCTGATCACAGAGCTTGAGAACCAGGGGCTGCCCCAACCAGAGATCATGATTTAGACAAAAAGCTCAGTAACGTCAAGGGGGAGCCCTCCACATGATTCCCATGAAGCGTTCAGTCAGGCCTGCAGTCTAGACCCGGGGTGCTGACGTACCCGCACGGGTAGGTCCACTGAGCTCACGGTGACCAATTTCTCGCCCCGACCAGCCTGATCCACCCTCAGCAATATAAGAACTGAGGGCCAGCTGCTCTCCTGACATGGGGATTCCTACAGTGGCGATATGCATGGCAAAGGCTGGGAGTCAGCCTACTAGAGACACTGCGGGTGGCAGCCCCATCTGACCGCCTCGGCACTTCCACACCCAGTGGCGGCACCTTTCCACATCTTCATTTTGGAGCCCGGGACGATGGCCTAGGCTGCTTCTGCTAGATCTGTTAATGCCAGTGTGAAGTTTCCAACTAAATACTTAATAAAATAATTACCAAAAAAAAAAAAAAAAAAGACACATTGCACTCTCCAGCCAGAATTACACGTGTGAATAACACATACGCTTGCTGCCAGAAGCTGTGAGTCCTTTGGGGCCTGCCCAATGCCAAGGACTTGTTCAATGGAGACAGCTTGCCCAGTATGTTTTTCCTCTAACCCCATGTTCTTTAGTTCAAGTGGGAAATGACCAACACTCTCACATAACGCACTCGAATGCGCACACACACACACACTCTCTCTACCTCAACAACACACAGCCCTCAAAAAAGTGAGGGAATCTTAATTCTTTAGCACTGTGGATGGTTCTCTTTCCAGAGAGCTCTGCATCGGGATTCTTGAAGATTGGACCTATAGACGTATACACTCCAAGGAGAGCCACCCCCACACGGGGGCGCGGTCCCACTCTGGGCGCCAGGTTCCTATTTGTACAGAAATTCACCGAACGGGATGGAGCAGCAAGCGTACAGTACTGGAGGTGGAGGGGATGAGCCCGCAAGGATGTCCCTGTCGCCTTGAGGGGCAGAGCTTTGGACCCAGAGACTTCCCGTCCTGTCCCCTCTCTACTGGCACCCAGGTAGGAGGCGGCGGCTTGGTACCTGTAGTGGGAAGTTCTGTCTGCAGGGACCTCAGCAGGCTCCTCCGACGCTTCTCCAGGCCCTTCTGGGGACTGTCGGGGTGTTGAGCAGAGGCAGGGCTCGCGCCTTGCTCGGGCTGAAGTCATTGAGATGAACGGGTGGCCCTGGCTCAGCACCAGGCCCAGCTGCAGGCTTGTGGGAATCGGTGCGTCACTGGGGAACGCTGGGCTCAAGGCACCCACATCCCTCCAGAAGGGTTTGATTACATCGAGGGTTCCTGCCCATAAACTGAACTTGAGGTTACGTAGTTTTAGAAAGACTCAAACATACATCGAAAGGATCATGGCCCAAACATCAAGAGATTGGCATGAGAGGGCTGCCAAGGATTATTTTGGGGACAGGTCTTTCTGAGCAGCTGGCTGAAAAACAACGGAAATGAAAACAAGGAACGGTTCCTGGAGGCCCTTGCTCTGTGCCTGGGGCTGGGGCCCCGGGGAGGCCAAGTGCCCCATGCCACTTCCCTGAATCCCTCTCTTCTGGGCGGACAACACCCAGCAGAAGGGGATGCCCTCTGGCGGGGACCCCTGCCATCTTGCCAGGGAAGGGGGAAGGGGAGGAGGGGTAAAAAAAATCAATACCCAGGTCATCTATAGGCTCCACAGCTACGACTTCTTCCAGGAGCCCCACCTCCCCTAGCGAGAGACGGGGTTGCTGGCTCTCCCGCCACCATCCCAACAAGCCCTGGCATCCCTCTTGATAATATTGCACTTTTCCTGTCTCTCAGATTGTTTTCATTTTCGATTGAGAATGCAAAGTATTTGGAGCGGGTAGGGGAAGTGAGTAACCTTAAAGAAATAATATATTAGTTAAATACAAAAACAGGAAAAGTAGGGGTTACTTTATCTTTTTTTCCATAAAAACAAAACAAACTACCAAACCAAGGTCTAAACTTAAATAGTTCTACACCTATTCTGCAAATACTAGTAATGTGAAAATAATGCTTGACCGAAATTCCCTTGTCTTTTTTCCTTAGATGATAATAGTAACATGCCTTGCTGAGGAAAGCAATGGATATAAATGCCAGTAAAATACGCTGCTCTAACATCTGAAAGTGATTAAAACGATTCTATATAATGCCTTCGTCAAGATGGAGCATGGAGAAGGAAGAAAGAGGACCCTGTGGGGCTAGGCTGGGGGTGAACGGGCTGAAGGCTGGCCAGAGGGCCCAGCCACAGCTGGGGCAGATGGCACACCTGCTGTTCAGGCTGCCCCCTCCAGCTCCCTCTTGCCACCCTCGGGGTCCCTTGGCCTAGTGGGAACAGCATGATGGGGCCAGGGAGCCCAGCCAGGCCCCTGTTACAAAGTGGGAGAGAGATGAAGACATCTTTTTCCCTTGTAATAAAAGAAAAAAGTCTTTAAACTGAAAGGAAAAGCACCAAATGATGCATCTTCGGGCATTATATAAACCTCAATAATGACCTCAGAAGGGCTCATTTTGATTAAAGTTGCAGTATACAGCAATACAACGTCATTTCACATTTTCAATCGCAACTAATGGAAAACTAGGTTTGGACACTGCTGAGATTTTTTTTTTTTTAAACCTTTTAAAGTCCGATCTGGTTTTCCTCCAGATGGGTCAGAGCCACAGACCCCTCCCTCCTCTACCTGCTGCCAGAAGTACCCTCCAACGTCACAAAGCAGCTCAGTAGCTCTAGGGAAAAGCCCTCTTGCCCTGGGCAGGGCTAGGAGTCCAGGGGCACAAGGCCTGGCATCCCCTGGCCATGTCTGAGAGGGACTGGCATGCACCCTTCTTGCTTCAAGTATTAATATTCTCTTTGGGTTTGCAGGGTTTGTGCTGTGCTGTAAGGGGGTGATGGTGAGGGGCAAGGGGCGAAGACGGGGCATGGCAATCCCTGTTCACTGCCCAAAGCTACATGCTGTCACCAGGTGGCAGCATTCTCTACTTTTCCTGGATGCCTGAGCAACCCCCAGCCATCCTCGGGGCTGGATGTCACATTGTAAACATGATGACCACACTATAAACTCTAGCGGGGCTGGGGAGGAGTGCAGGGGTGGATGCAGTGGGGAGGTCTGCCGTTAACTAGCTATGTGATTTGGGGAAAGCTAATTCCTGTCTTTGGGCTGCAGTAACAAGAGGGTATGGGATGGAGTGACCCTGAAGGTCACTTACAATGACTCACTTAAGGGCACTGGGGATTAAGGAGAGAGGGTCCTTGGGGGGCTGGGAGAACATCTGCCTTGTGGGTGGTGGAGAGTCCCACAAGGCAGTGCAGTGAGGAAGGGCAGGGAAAGATAGGCTCTGGGGAGCACTGTGGTCCAGTCCGACTGAGATGCTCTGTGCTTAGCGGATGTGTCCTGCACTCCTTCCTGGCCTGGCTGGCGTGTTACTGATTGAACTGGCTCAGTGCAGACATTGAGGAGTGAGGCCGCTGGGGCCATCCCCCTGGAAGATAGCTACGTGGAAGGTCCTTTAACCCGACAATCACTCTACTTTTAAATTTTATTTTAAATAATCATAAATTACTTTTTTTTCTTTTAATAAATATGTGCTGCTTAAAAATGAGAAAAGTATATACTGCATCTTTAAGTAATGCACTTTGCTCTCTGGGTTTCTTTCCATTCCACCGTATTAAAGTGCATTAATTAAAAAATAATGAACCACTTCTTTATCATTATTGTTCAAATAAGTCCAAATAATATTAATATGAAGACACTACAACACTACCATTAGTACTGCAGTCTAGCAGATAACTCAACATCCTGCTCTATTTAATACTGTCCAGCAGAAGAAAATAGTAACTAATTTTAATTTTAAACAAACAAAAGGAAGCAAAATCTCACCACGGCCTTTTCAACATAGAACGGGAGCAGTTTGCTAGAGCTGCCAGGCGTCAGTGTACGGCGAAGGAGGAGGGCAGGGCGGCTGGGGGCTGAGGGCACGAGGCGCGGGTCCCCCGCTGTTCTTCAGGCATCATACGCTGCCTGGGGGGCGGGGGGAGTGTGGGCGGAGGGAGGGCCTTTCCTCCTTAGTCCAGGATCTGGCAGCTGAGTCGGGGGCTGTGAAGCCTGATCTGTCCACAATCAAAGGCACGTGTGGAAATCCACTCCCAGTGAAGAGTGAGTCCTTGGGGAAGCCAGTTTGGCCTCTGAAGTGTCGACTGAAAGACACCACCCAGAGTTGACAGGGACGTCATTCTCTCCCTTCTCTCTTTGCAGGGGCACTGCCCCTCGGAAAGACCAGGTTGGCTCCTGGCCCAGGGATCTTCGCCTCCTCGGGCACCTGCGATATTGCTTGCAGGCCAGGGGGTGCCTGGTGGTGTCCGCCCAGCAGGTTCCCCTGGGCCCAGGGTGAGGGCGATGGCTGCTGCTCCACAGCCTTCACATAAGGCTTCGGGCCCTGCCCAGGCAGGGGAACGTTCGCTGCCCCTCTCCTGAACACCACCCGCCTCCCTGCTGAGAGTTCTGCCCTGCTGAGGTTGCACAAGAACCGGGAGAGCAGCGTCTCTGCTTTGCCACGGCTGGGACCAGGGCTCCTCCAGCCCGAGATCCCTCTGGCAAGCACCGGTACTGTCCACACAGTGGAAACCAAATGAAGCGACTTTGGCTTGTGGAGGGAAGAATGCAAAACACAAACCAAACCACCTCCCCACAAGAGTATGATAGAAAGGCCATCCACTACCCATCCCGTCCCGTGAGGCTGACTGCCCTTGGGTCCCCAAACAACTCCTAAAGTAAGACCAAAACCCAAGGCCTGACATAGAAGGCCCAAAGCAATACACCTCTCCCAAAACCTGCAAAGAACTGCCCACCCAGAAATATCCAAAATAAAGTCTGTGCAGACTGTGAAAAGACCGACGGCTCTACCTGCCCTCTCTGTGAACACTGGAGCTGGTGGTCCTCCACGGGGGTGCCCCAGGCAGGGCAGCCTCTCTTCTCAAGGCCAGCAGCAGTGACGGCTAAGAATGGTGGTCCTTGCTGGCAGCTGGGGAACTGCTTTTTCTTCAACTAACAAGAAACAGTGGCCTGGCCCAGGGACAGCCTGAGCTCACAGGAGATGCCTCCCAGCCCCAGGGCCAGTGGTATCTCCTACCACACCCACCCATGGCAGGCGGCAGAGATTCCTGGGAAACCAGCGTAACTCACAAACATAGATTAGGATGATACAAGGGCTACTTCCGGGGTACAAGATGCCAGCAACGGAAGCCAGGCTAGGCAGGGGCAGGGCACAGGAGGCCCGCACAACCACACCTTTTCCAGATTTGCAGCCAAGGCACAAGTTGGGGTTTCCTACATGGCCTGTCCCAAATGGTGCCGAGTCCATCAGCAGAGTCCCCAAGGTGCACGTGTGAGGCTCAGCTTTCTTGCCTCCGGTCCCAGGCCCAGGACACCCCTGCCCCTTCCACTCCCTGCTCAATGTGGGCCCCCACCAGACCCTACCTTCCAGCTGGGGGACAGCCTGGAGGGGAGTATCTTCGAGGTCCCACATTCTGCAGGTTTAACGTTGTCCTCCCCACCCCCTCCCATTCTCCCTTTCCCTTTTGTCTTCTCTCACAGCTCACCCATACTGAGGCTGCAACGACTTAGGCCCCCCACCACTCCTCATTAGTTCTTCTTCTCCAGGTAGTTGGAGGGCACCCAGCCTTTGAAGGGCTTCACCCCGTCCAGAATCTGGCAGTACCACCAGCCGTTGGGGTTCCTCTCCAGGACCTCCATGGACACGCCCTCCTGGAAGCCCGCCGTCTCCTCATCCCCCTCGTAGTCTGCGATCGAGACGTACACATCTTTGAGGTTGTTGTGGATGAACTGGGACTTCTCAATGGGCTTGGGGCGCACAGGGGACACCGGGATGCCGTTGCGCTGAGTGGGCAGCAGAGAAGGGTCCGAGCCCTGGCTGGCGGCCCGTTCGACCAGGCGGCCCTTGGCTTCTGTGGCTGCCGAGCGGGCAGTGCTGAAGGAGGAGTTCCGGCGGACGCCTCGGAGGCCGTCGGTGGCCGTCAGCGACTCATTCCTCCTCAGGGCACAGGACAGGTTGCTGTCCTTGGGCGGTGGGGACACGAACACCGACTGGGGCCTCACGGCCACCTGCCGCACGCCATTCCTCATCTTCACCACCCCGGCGCCCGAGGTCTTGACGAAGCCGCCGGGAGGCTTGGAGGGGATGGGTGGCGTGGCCCTTTTGCTCTGGTTGACGGTGTTCAGCGCTTGGACCCGCTTCTCGATCTTTTCCAGGCTGTCTGACTTGCCCTCGTTCTGCTTGCTCTTGGTGGCCACTGTGTCCAGCTCTTTGCCAGGGGGGTCGAATTGCTCGTTCTCACCGAGCACCAGATAGTGGGAGGGGGCCCAGCCCTCCAGCTCCCCAAACCTCACGTACCACCAGCCACTTTCCAGCTTCTCAAGCACCTGCACCTCCACGCCTGCCGGGAAGCTGATCTCCGAGTCCTGGACCTTTTGGTAGGCACTACATGTCGTGTAGGAGGTGGCCTGCCCTTCCCACCCCTTCTTGGTGGGACACGGGGGCGTGGCGGCAGGGAGGGTGATGAGGTCGGCCGAGCCTCTCCTGGACCCCTCACCGGGACCCTCGAAGGCCATCTGGGGGGGCAGCTCCGAATCCTCGCTCTTGGAGCCCTTGAGGCCGCCCCGGAGCTGGCCAGTGGGCCTCAGCTGGCGCCGTAAAGTGCTGATGTCCATCTTCTCCTGACTCTGGGACTCTGTGCGGTTCAGGAACGGCTTGGGCCGAACTGATGGCTTGGCCCGGGCACAGGAGGTCAGCCCAGTCTTCGGGTCAGCATCCTTCCTCGCTCCGACCTTGGGAGCGCCGCGGATGCCTGCGTCCGAGGCAGAACGGCGCTTCAGGTCCTCACTGTTCTTGGACAAGGACGAGGAGGAAGAGGAGGAAGAGGAAGAGCAGGTGGTGTTGATGGTGATGGACGAGGAAAAGGAGGCCGAGGAGTGGTTCTTCCCCAGTTCTGCCTGGGCGTTCTTCTCTGCCTTGAGCTTCAAGAGCGACGACGATTTGGGGGAGCCCGATCTGGGGGAGTTTTTCCTGGCAAGGGACAGCGGGGAGCCGCCTGGGGAGTCGCTGTCCCGGGAGGAGCGCCTGGCCGACAGGGCGTCCTCTGCACATGCCCGGAAGCCCTCGTTCTCATAGATGGTCTCCTCCTCCAGGGCCACGTCCTCTGCAGATCCGCCCACCTTGAAGCGGGCGCGCTGCAGCGAGAAGGCGGGCGAGGGCTTGTGGGGCTGGCCGGGCCGCCTGTCCCCCGAGCTGCCGTCCTCTGCGGGCTCCTCACTCAGCTCTGGCTCTGAGTCGAAGCCAAAGGCAGGGATGTCATACTCGGGCTCCTCGTACCTGAGCCTCAGCGGGGAGTCCTGGCTCTCACCAGCACCCGCCAGACCCTCCTCGGCCTCCTTGGGCTTGCTGGGCGGTGCCGGTGGGGGCACCTTGGGCCGCGTCAGAGTGCTCGTGCGGCGGCTCAGGTTGGGCTTCCTGCGCTTATCGATGTACGACGCGGGGGCCCAGCCCTCCTTCTCACCGATCTGCACGTACCACCAGCCACCCGAGTTCTTGTCGATGACCTGGGGGAAGGGGCAGACGGGCCAGTGAGCTGGGAGGATCGCTGGGGCCCTACCATGTGCCAGGGTGGGAGCTTCCCACTTTGGCTCTAGGAGACATTATCTCCATTTCCCAGATGAGTGAACTGAGCCACTGAGTAAGTGGCCCAGGACCCAACGTAGGAAGTGATGGGCTGGCATTCAAACCCAGGTCTCTATCGTCTCCTGGATGGGGGGGCTCCTACTCTCCAAGACCCCCTCTCCTGCTCTTCCAAGTCTCCTCCAACACCCTGGTCGAGCTGGCCTCCTCTCCAGACCCTCACTTCTCCTCCCGCTGAGCTACTACACTTGGAAGATGCACTGTTCCCAGTCCCTACAAAACCCCGCTCACCACGGACCCATACGTACAAAAGACTGCCATTCCACCACTTCCATCCTCTCACTCCCATACTGCTAGGCCCTCCCTCGGTGACACTGGAAAGGGTCTCTCAGGGCAGAAGAGAATAGGAGGGTGCAGGTGAGTGGAACCTGGAGGTAAGGCTGAGGCCGGACCTCCCTGGTTTCCCCATTGCTCATGGTCATTTCACTATATGTGGAATCCCACTGAAATCCTACCAGCTGAGGAGATTTCTTTGAGTTGAACGGCTTCCTGGGGGAAGGCTAGGGCCTCTCAGTCATTTCCCTGTTAGTATAAACTCGTTCAAGGAGCTTCTTTCTTAACTGCTATTTGAGACTGGAGAAAGCCCAGGAGTGTGGTTGCTGGCTGTACTGAGGTCCGTTTGGATCGGGGAATACGAATGGAAGAGGCAGTTGTCCTTCCATGTGCGCAGGTTCCGCATCCCTGGATGTGGAGGGCCAACTGCACTACGATTTTATGTAAGGGCCTTGAGCATCCCAGGATTTGGGTGTCCATTGGGGGTCATGGAACCAACGCCCCACAGACCCCGAGGAACAACTGTAATTTTGAATTGTGGAACACTGCTGGAGGAGGAGGTCCCAGGGAGGGGAAGGGAAGCTTGAAAGCACCGGCACTGGGGGAAGAGGGGCAAGGAAGGAAGGGAGGATAGAGACCACCAAAGGCAAGGTCTGCCTGAGGCCAGCTCTCTGCAGCCCCCGCCCTGCCTTGGGTGCTATATTCCGTCCTTCACTCTGCCCACTCCATACTCAAAATGCATACGTGGGTAGATCCTAGGTATGTCAGTTCTCTTACATTATGAGCTTCATAGGCTCTTCTGGAAGCATAAGCACCACTGAGAGAATGATTTCTCTTAGAAATTTAGTTCTAAGTTCCAGGCATGTGGTTTAAAACATTCACATTGGGGGTATCACCTCTTCAATGGGCAGAAACTGCCCAGTTACTCTTCTGATGGTTTTACAGGTATTAATTGGACTTAACTCCATTACTACACAGAGCCACTCAAGAGAAAGATCTGAGTCACAGATCTTCTCTGGCCCCTGGAGTGCCATGTTCAGCGCTGGCCACAAAGTGGGGTTTCATAAATGCTAGGAGACCGGCTGGGAGGGAGCAGGAGAGGGTCTGCTACCCACTTGCAGAGAGAAATCATCAGAACCTGGGGGAGAAGGGACTGCATCGAATGTCAGAGGTGCCTGTGGTGTGGACGTGGCCAGAACGGGTCCTCAGTGCCTTATTCCGGCTGCCGGACCACATTCTCCCAACACCTGTGGTGTGGACGTGGCCAGAGCGGGTCCTCAGTGCCTTACTCCGGCTGCCTGGACCACATTCTCCCAACAGCAGCACTTCCTAATATGGGTCTTGTGGAACCCTGGCCCCCAGGAGCTCCTGGGAGAGGAATCTAGGTGATACTGCCTATTCCAGTCCCCTCTTAGAGACACACAGTGACACCCCCATATCTAGGCTCTGAGAAGTTCTGCAATTAAAACAACAAAGCTGGTTGGGTTTTGTTTAACTCACTGTCCTCCAAACTCAACCCCAGAGGCCCTTTGTTTCAAAGTGTCCCCATCACGAGCTCCTATAATATGCTTTGGGAAACGCTGCTGTGACGGCAGCTGGGTGGAGACAGGAGCCGTGGGTTCTAGTCCTGGCTGTGGCACTTACTGGCTTTAGGCAAATTCTAATCCCTGTGGGTTCTGTTTCTGCACCTTTCCTGCTCGCCCCTCAGGAATGTCGCCAGCAAGACACAAATGGGAAACACGGGGGGTATCTGACCATCATGAATTATAACCCTCAGCCCCATGGCCCAAGGCTCACCTCTGCCTTCTGTCCGCCTCGAAAACTGATCCCATCAGAAATGCACGACTGGAATTCGGCAATGGTGTAGTACTCCACCTCAACAGAAGGGGGCTCTGGCGGCTTAGGCAGCTGGAACCCCTGAGGCAGAGAAGGACTCAAGTCAGCGAGGCTCACCTGCTCAGAACCGTAACTGAGGTGAGTGTGGCGGCTACACCAGGTGGAGAGCAGCTGACCTGAGGATGTATCAATCACCTGAGTCTCAGGGTGGCTCACCAAGGGACCACTCTCCTGATCAGGCTAAGAACACCTAGGCTTCGCTTGAGACTTGTCTGAGCTATGAAAATGATCATCGAAGTAAATTTCCACCCTTACATCTTTGGAATCCAGTTTTCAGAAGCCTCAACAGCTAGGTCCCAAAACAAAAGTCAAAAAGCGGAGAAATTGTTGTAACAAAGCCCGTGCACACTGCCCCCTGGGAGAGGAGAGCCATGTCCTTGAGTCTCAGGTGAAGGGCCACCGGGGTGACACCTGACTGCAGAGGTGGGGTGGGTGTAAGGGGGTGTGGGGTTGGTCAGAAAACCCCTTGGTCTGTCATCGTGATGATGCCAAATGGTTAGGCAAGCACGGAATACACTCAGGATCCTTTGCTCTGGGGTTGGGTAGAACGCGCTGGGCAGCCTAAATGCTTCCTAGATGCTGGCGTGTCGATAACTAAGCCTGACATGCAAGCAAATGTAGAATACGGCCACAGCCCATGAGCTGGGAGCCTCATTCATTCACTTGACAAATGTTTGTTGTGTGTCTACTGGGTGCCAGACTCTGGTCCAAGGCACCAGGCATGCAAGAGTGAACCAAAGGGACAGGACAACCCCCTTGCCCTCGTGGAGAGGACATTCCAGCTTCAGCCAGTCTCTACTCCAGCCAACATGGCCTTGGCGCCTCCCCATCACTCCCAATATGGCCTGGTATCAAACAAAGGAGTTAAAATAAAACAATCTTATAAAAAAGGTACACGTGTTTGGGAGGCTGGGGGGGGGAAGCAGCTACAGTGTAGCAGGAAGACCTCAAAAGGTCTCTGCCTGCAGGTAGAGGGCTCCAGTCCCAGCTCAGCAATTCACCAGTTGCGTGGCCCTGGGCAAGGCCCTTGCTCTCTCTGAGCCTCAGTTTCCTCATCTGTAAAATGGAACTAATAACAGGGCCATGAGATAATGAACATAACTTCTGGTCCAGCCAGCGGCACAGGAAAAGCTCTATAAACATAAGCTGAAGCCGAACGCTCTTCCTGAAACGCCATCCTATTCCTCTTACCCTGCCTCGTCCTTCAAGGCTCAGCATGTTCTAATTCTGCCAGTCACAGCTGAGCTGCCTCAGGTCAGAGTGAGTGAAGGGTGCGGGGGAGGCTGGTTTTGAGGGACCAGGTCCACTTTCCCTGCCCTGGTGGCTGGCTCTGCAGCCGTGCGTGCGCACAGAGGTGGCCCAGGTCCCGGCCCTGCCTGGACCCCCGCGGCCAGGTGGGAGTCGGACGGACCTAGCCGGAAAGAGCAGCTCTGCCCTAGCAAGCCCTGCTTTTGGCAGGTGTGGAAAGAATTACCCCATTCTTGCCAAAATCAAGTCTGCCCGAAAATAATTAGCTGGGGCTGAGAGAGATGAGGGGAGGGGAGAACTCGTTCAGTTGTGTAAAATGGGAGGAGAAACAAGATAGAAAACTCCAGTGGGGCTGATGGCCAGGGCCAGGACGGTCCCATCTCCAGGGGCCAAATCTTCAAAAATCCTGTTTAGGGAAGGCCAACTCTTCCAGTGACGGCCGCTGTCCACCCCCCCTGGGGCGGATGTCACTGACCACAGTAAATCTTGCGGCTAAGCCCAGATGTGACTGCAGAATCCTTGTCCACACATAGTGCACAGAGAGCTGACAGAGGAAGTGGAAAGTCGATGGCCAGCCCTCTGCATACACCATCTCATCCCATCCTTACAACAGCCCTAGGAGATGGCTGGCACTGTCCCCCTCTTATAAATAAGGAAACTGAGGCCTCTGGAGGGTAAGCAACCTGGCCAGGGGCTTGCTGTTTCTCAGTGTCAGAAACGGAGTATGAATCCATGCCTGGCAGGCCTGAAGCCCCATTCTTTGCACTGCATCCCACTGCCCCAGATGACAGTTCTTGGTTCTAGGGCTCTCGGTCTGCCACCTCTCACCCAAAGCCCCAGCACCCTGAGTGCACATCCACCTCCGTGGCGGTCTGGATGCCAGGAAACCTCACCTACAGGCGCCACAGACCCCAGCAGCACTGAGCCTCTTTGAGCTTCAGCATAAACCAGTCCCTTGCCATTTACCACCCTCCTCCCCGGAGAAGATGCTCACTGGTCTGCCCTGCGCCCTCCCAGGTTCTGGCATCCACTGGGCACTCCCGGGCAAGGAAGGCAAAGCTGAAAGTCTTCCAGGCTCACATGGACAGCAGCCCTATTTCCCGCCCCTGGCAATGCCCCGGCTGGACACTCTCGCCAGCCAGTCTAAATGTTTATGTCTGCCAGTGCCGTGGCTGGGATGGATTTATTTAGCTTTAGAGTGCAGTGTGTTTTTGATTAAAAACTGTCCAGCTAGGCCCCAGGAAGGCTGGGTTCCCCAGGCTTCCCTCCCTGCCTCCAGCCCCACAAAGCTGGAAGCTCCAGCATGGCCCTGGGGAAGCCCTGGACCAACAGACTCTGCACTGAGACAGCCAATTACTGGGAGCTGCTACGGGGCACCCAGGAAAGGGAATGAGAAAGAGAGAAGAAACTGAGCACACATACCAAGCTGGACTCTCTGCGAGGTGGAGGCCTTGTCCTGAGGTTCGGGGAGCCTAGAAGAAGAAACAGGGCTTCAGAAATCGCAGCCAGACACAGTGCCTTCCCTCCCTTCCCTGGGTGTGATCTCCTGATGCTGGGAAGTTCCCGCTCTTTTCCCACATTTATGAGGAACCCATGCTCTCGGTCACCACAGGCACGAGAGCTGGGCTTCTTCAGTGGAAGTGAGAGATCTTTAAGCTTCCTTAGCTGTGTTTCAAGGGGATCCGTGAACCCCCTAAAATGATGTGCACAATTTCAAAATGTACAGACAGAGGGGCTTTTTTCAGGGGAAAGGGTAGATAGCTTTATCAGATTTCCAAATTTAGGAGAAGAGACCATGTCTGTTTTTTGCTCACTACCAAATCCTTGGAAGCTAGCACAGTGCTAGGCAAGAGGAAGTACCCCCCAAACAGCTCCCGACTGACTGCTCAGAAGGTTTCAGGCATAAAGCTAATGTAAGCTCAGGACCAAACTAAAAAACAGCTTTCCTCCAGATTTTAAGAATGGCTGGACATAAACAGAAGCTGGTCTCATAATACAGAACAGTTTAACCCTCAATCCGCAGGCATCCTTGCCCCAGAGATGCTAGAGATCTGGAGGGGCCGGCAGCTGGGTTTCTCCTGTACGAAAGGAGGAGATTCCGGAAGGATGCTGCTTAAAAGTGCTTGTGGAGGGAGGTACAGTCACCCTTCCGAGTGTCTTAGATTTCCGGTAACTGGAGGAAGACGACAGGGAGGAAGGGGTAAGGCTCAGCAAGATGATCTACAGGCTGTCACTCATAGAGCAGCCTTGCACTCTATGAGATGTGAGCACCCATGTGAGATGTGAGATGTGAGCACCCATCTCACAGCCCAGGTGACCTATCTGCAGAGTGACCGTTCATGATGCTACCAGCTTACGTATGCATGCAATTTATCTCGGAGGAGTGGAAGGAATTGCCTTGTCCATGCTTGTGATTAGCATAAGACAAGCTGGCAAAGCGAGCCTGGGGTCAGGGGTCAGCCTACATCTCAGGAACAGAATAATATGGGGATCCTGCACACACCCCGCCCCCCCCTTAGGCTTTCCTTGCACCTCACGCCCCTTCTCTAAAGAGCTGTGCGGCAAGGACCCGGGGATCAGCGAGGTTCTTACTGATCTGGGCCCTCTGAGGGGCAATCCTGGCCACGGCTGGGGAGCCCTGGGCCAGCTTGGAGACGGTCCTCTCGGGGACACCCAGGGCGCTGCCGTTGGAAGCATTGCAGAGGATGGGCAGGCTGATCTCCTTCTTGGTGATGGGGGCCTCTGGGGCCTCGCCTTCAGCTGGGGTGGTCTCCTTGTCCCCGGACGCCTTTTTGTTCAGCAGGTTGCTGATCTCCATGATGTTCCCGATGATCTCCACTGGGCCTGCCAGATTCTTCTTCCGTGCTGGCAGGTCATCCTTGGCTTTCTTCAGGTAGGATGCTGGTGCCCAGCCCTCTTTGCCCAGGTATCTGCAGGGAGGAGTGGGACATGGCATCATGAGAGCACCCTGTCCAGGCCCCAGTCTCCGTCGGGCCTTGCCCAGCTGAGCTTTCTCTGCTGCGCTCTGTAAGACACTTGGCAAAGCCACTACTCTGGAGAGAACTGGAACGAGGGCCAGTGGAAAGACATCGGGAACACCACTGCTTCCTCTCTGTCTCCTAGTTCTTTGCCTGATCCCTCTTGGTGCGGGCTCTCGTTGTTTGCAACGTCAGGCAAACGTGGGACATTGAGATGAGAAGATTCCTCAGGTTTGGGGTTGCCTAAAAGGTAGACTTTGCAATGGCCTACAAGCTCACCACAGCAGAGGGCAATTCTAGAGATAAGAAATGAGAAGGTATATAGAGTTAAATGCCCAGTCAGAAAGGGAAGTATGATCAGAGGGGTGAAGAGGCAGCACAGGTGAGAGTTAGGAAACCCGAGTTCTGGCCTATGGTACTTCGGACAAGTCCCTACCCTGGAGCTCGATATTTTCTCTTCTGCAAAATGCTGGGACAGAGTAGCTGTAAACATTTATCCAGAAGGATAGACATATTGAGACCAACTAGGAAGACGTGTATAAAGAGTGAGTGGCCAAGTGGGAGAAGTATCGGCACCACTGCAGGAGGAGCAGACGGATCAAGTTCACAGAACAAGTCCACAGACAGGCCAACGCTAAAGGTGACGTTTCAAAGCAGTGGGGTCAGGATGGATTATTCAGTGAGTGGTCTGGGGATGACTGATGATCCAGTTAGGAAAAACAAGTGAGACTCAGGCCTTACAACCGTATAGCAAACTTAAAAATGCAAGTCGTGAATATTTGCTTAATCTTGGGGGCTGAGAACATCTTTCTAAGTGGAACTCCAAAGGCAGAAACCATAAATGAAACGACTAAATAAAGCACGTGACTGGGTAAAATTAAAGCCTTTGGTGTGGCAGAACGAAAACAAAACGAAACAAAACCCCAAACCCATAAACAGAGCAAAAGGCAAATGATGGGGCCGACTTAATTTCAGGGGATTTGCTGACTTCTGAAAACAAGTTTTTCCCTTTTTCCCTCATGGTGTTGAGCTCCTACCCAAACCCACTGAGAACTTACTTCCTGGTCCAGCAATTCCTGGCCAATGCCCTGCAGTCTGGGGTGCAATGTCCCCGCCTGCTCCCTGGGACACATCTGGCTCCCTGGAATGGCTCTTCCATGCCAGATGTCTGATAATCCCCGGCCCCCCTGCCTCCCTGATCTGACCTTGTTCTTGGGGGCTCATTAGGTAGGAGGAAAGGAAATGTGAAAGTTCAGGTTTCTAACGTGTTTGAGCTTTGCTGGAAAGTTCAGGTAGGAGGTAGCTTCCTATGTTCACATCACATGACTGTGCAGGCAGGCTGACCCAAGCTCAGCCGTCTATCCCCGTTTTGGGGCTTGGAAGGCAGACATCAGTGAACAAACGGATGGAAGTCAGGGAGCTGGCAGACAGAAGCACAGAATTTCAGGGCTGGATGGAAGCAACTAGTAAAGATACCTAATCTTACATACACCAACAACCAAGGCTCAGAAAAGCACAGCAAGTAGCAGAGGGTCACACGGCTAGCTTTTGGCAGCATCTGGCCCAGAACTTGGTGCCCTTCATCTTGTAAGAAAGATGAGGAACCTGCCAGCCACTGGGGGCACCTGTGCGGAGATGGGGCGCGAGGTCTCCTGGGAGTGATGGTCAGGACTGTGCACTGTCCTGAGGGCTCCCATTCTAAACCCTGATGTGCTCCTTCCGTGTTACATGGATAAAATTAGATTCCAGGCAGGGAGATGCAAGTGAATCAGGAGAGGCTGTGTGTGTTTGGGTCCAATTCTGCTCACATCTGCTTTCCAGCTCTGGAGCACGGAATGACTCCAGAGGGAAGCAAACTGGAAAAGGAGGATGGGGAGAGAGGGAGGGCACGCACGCGTGCGTGCGTGCGTGTGTGTGTGTGTGTGTGTGTTTGGCGGGGGGTGGGGTGGGTGTGGGTGGAGAAGAAAGACAGGAAGTAAGGATCAACACAGAGCCTGGGATGCTGGGAAAAGGCCTATTTAAGGGGGTGTCTGGCAGCCTTCTTAAGGTGGAACCTTTTCAGCAGGGTTTTCTCGGTTGCAGCTCCCATTGGCTGAATGGCCAGGCCGTGGGGACAAGAGCTGACTAGATGGAACCAACTCAGAGTGATTTTATTGGTTATTTTAGAAAACTAAAACACCCAGCAGCCTTGTAGAAAACCTCTGGGTGAGTGGTTTAGGTTAGCAGCCTGCCAGAATGTTCACTGGCCTTCCCACGCAGACTCGTGGTGGCTGGATTGTGGGCTTGGCTCTAGTTTCCATTGTTTAGAGAACATCAAAGCCTAGGGGTAGTGGATCTGGGCAAACACGCCCAGGCACACACAGTCCTGTCCCACCTAACGGGACAGAAAGGGACACCTCAGCCCGCTGACTGGTGTGCACAGGGCTGGGGGCAGGGGCGCTATGTCCTGGCAGGTCACTCTAAGGTTCAATGCCATGTGGCCAACGACCTTCATCCTACCCGTCAGCACAGACCAATCTGAACACCTTGCGGCATGCTGTGTTCTGAGCAACTGTCTTGTGAGTGCCCCCGCCGCCTCGGCCATCTGTGCCCTCGGTGGGGGACAGCTCAGAACACGCATCCTAGCCACAGTGGGTCTGGGGTTCCCAGGTGTGGTGGGCTGGGGAGGCGGTCCCCAGAGCCCATGACAGGGACTCTCTGTCATCCGGCTTACAGGCAGAGAAGAGAAACTGGGTAAAGTCATCACAGCGGAGCTGCTTCTAAAGGACCCAGAACACTTCCTGGAAACAAGCCCCTCCTGCGGGGGCTGCTAGCTGGCCTGGGAGCCCCAGGGCAGAGGGGCCTGGGGGGCAGGACCTGGTAGGGGAGAGGTGAGTGAAACCCACAGGGTTTAGTTTGCTTCCAGGAGTATCAGGAAGCTGCCCACTCCCCTACTCACACCCCCCGGATGGGTTTCTCAGCTGGGAAGTGTGATTAGGCCCAAGGAGAGTGAAGGGCAGAGCAAGAGGCCTCTGAACTAGGCCTGTGCTCAGGCCAGACTTCCGCCCCAGCTCTCTCAACCACGGAAGCCAGCCCTGCGGAGCGGAACAGCCCGGGCCCGAGCCTGCATCTGTGGGCAGCAGGGGCCGCCTGCTGGGACCTCGGCAAGGCCCGTGGACGCCAGCACTGCAGGCGGCCCGAGCTGCAGAGCACGCCAAGCAGCCACGGTCGGACACGGAAACCCAAATTCAGATGTGCTGGACCCTCTTGACGGCTGCACGGGAAGGGACTGCACCACTGCCTGCGAGCCGAGCCAGGGCCCCTGTGCGCCGCTGGCTGTGGCTCAGCCTCCGCCTTATGTGTCCCGGGAGGGTGTGTGCAAGAGGAGCGCTCTCTGTCACGGCCGCTCAGCCTCGCGGTACTGAAGCCGTCAAGCCAGGCCGTGGGTGCAAAGCTGCTGTCAGGATTGACCTGCCAGCTGGTGCCCTCAGCCACTCTGCTGCCCAGGGCCACCCTGGGGGCCGGGGTGGCAGAGAGGCACCTTGCTCCTCTGCTGGGGCTCTTACCTGATGTACCACCAGCCCTCCAGATTCTTCCGGATCACCTCCACGGTGACGCCCTTCTCAAAGCCAATCTCGTCCTTGCTTTGGCTGGTGTAAGGCTGCACAGTGACATACTTCTCCTCTGTGGGTGGTGGGTGAGGCGAGAAAGCACAGCTATTTGAGGACGGGGTACAGGTCCTTTGTCCAGCCTCCTTCTCCCCCTGGCCTGGCCTCACTTAGTTGGTGGCCAAGGTGTACTGCATCAACCTCTGGCTTTTCCAGCAAAGGGAAGAGAAGGGAGCAGGCCTCACAGCTGTGCCCTGCATGTGCCAAAGCTGGCCAGGGCCCCAGGTGGCCTTGCAAGCCCCAGGCAGCGTAGAGCTGGCTCTCCCAGCCTCCCAGTCCCATAACTGCAGACAGGCTGCCGGGGCCTGGAGTCCTCAGGGTCCCAGAAACTCCCTGGGCTGAGGGCAGGGCCATGAGGAACCTGGCCCTCCTGGGGCCCGAGTCAGGGAGTCTGAGAACAAACCCAGGTGTCCCCTCAATGCCTGGAGGCCTCAAGGCAAGCCCTCTCCTTCCTGAACATGCCATGCGTCCATCTATGCCCCAGACCTGCTCTCTCAGCCTGTCTCCCACCTCAAACCCTTAAACCCCTCCTCTGCCCAACCTTCTGACAGCTCCAGGGACACCTCAGCCTCCCCTGACCACTCAACTGCTCGCCTGATCACATAACTTCCCCGAGAGGATGCTATGGGCATGGTTATGTGCCCTGTTAAGGGTCCAGGGGCCAAATGAGCAGGGGCAAAACAGTGCGGCACAATCAGGCGGGAGCCCTGGGGGGGACTGAGTTGACCACACAGCTCGGTGGAGCCCCTCTGGGAGCTGCCTGCTCTGGTCTCACGGTAGGATTGCACGCCCTCTTCTGGGCTCCCCAGGCACTGGGAGAGAGGCACCGTGGGGAGCTGAACAGGAGCGTGGGGGGGCAAGTGTGGGGAGGCTGGGAAGTTTGTGTCTTCCTGGATTCCTTGGGCCTCTCTCCTGGCAGGGACCCTGTGCCTCCACGGGAGTCCCTGCTCAGGCCTCCTGTCTGCTGGGGACCGGCAGACCCACAGCTGGCCGGCCACAGACACCCTGCCTCCTGGGAGGAGAGTCTCCCCAGAGGAATAGCTTGGGGAGGAACACCCAGTCCCATCCATCCCCTCAGCGGAGGATAAGCGGCAGAGATTGGCACACCCTCTGGGAGGGTCACCCTGAACCTGTGCTGTCCTCTCCGACCTGGATTCTCCCTGGGGGCTGAGACAGTGCCTGGCACACAGTAGGCGCTGCAAAGGGACTATGGAGTACATTGATGAGGACAAAGGTGTGTTGAGCCGGGGCACCGAGGGGGAGACTCTCTGAGCTCAAAAGAGCAGGCTGCTGGCACAGAACAGCTGGCTCTGAGACGGGCGCTCCCCACCCCCCAGCTGGACCCTGCCCGGCAGCCTGCCCAAGCCTCTGGCAGTAGTGGGGGAGAGGGCAGCTGCCACCCTAAGCCCCTGCTCAGGAGGGCCATCTGTTCATTCTTCCCTAGATTATCAGGGTCCCGTCTGCGGCCCTGCGCCGGGCGGAGATAGCAGCTCCCTCTGGGGTGGAGACAGCTGCCCTGCCAGGCCGCAAGGACAGAGCTGGCAGGCCGCTGGCCGAATCTGCAGGCTGCCGAAGGGCAAAAGGTAGGTGACGCCCCACGGGAGCCTCCACAGCTCAGCACGCTCTTCTCAAATGCAAGCCTTTCTCGGCGTCAACTGGCTCCTGGAAGCTTTCAGATTCCAACCCAGCCATGCTGGGGCGAGCCGCCAAGACCGCCTGAGAACCCGGCCCTGCCAGATTCTGACTCGGGCCTTTGAGAAGGTTCGTGTTTTATAGTCCAGCCCCCTGCGCTCCCGCCTATTCCTGGTCTCGCTCCATTTTCCAGTGGGACACCGTAAATCCTGGCCCGGGCGGTGGCCGGAGCAGCAGCGCCGGGCCCCAGGGCCCCAGGGTTCTGAGGCTCGGGTGAGCCAAGGCCTGGGCTCCACATTTTGCCTTTGCTCAGTTGGGCTATTTTTAAAAGCCTGTGGTTCGTGCAGGAAGCCATCATTAAAGTTTCCCTGGGCAAAGTCACTTTTGCAGAGAAAAATTACAGCCTATCTCTTGGGCAGATCAGAGGAGCCCTTCTCTGCCCCACGGCAGAGGACAGGGCCTAGACTGCTTCATGGGGGCCAGGCCCCAGCACCAGCCTCCCCAGTCCCCAGCGTGTGTGCTGAGGACAGAGCCCCGAGGGCCATGTAAGCATCCTGCCTTCCCCTGCCCCTCCTGGTGGGCAGAACCAGGGGTGTCCGTCTTACTCAGGAAGGCTGAGCTGCTCCTGCACGAAGCCCTCTTCGTGGTGGCCCTGGGGCTGATGGGAACGCAGATGTCTGGGAGTTTACGCTCCCAGGAAGAGAGCTGGCTGGCTTGGAGGCTCGTCCTACCCTGGCACCGTAGCTTCTAGGAGGTGAGAATTCAGAGCCCTGGTCCCAGGCAGGACAACTCCTCCAATTGGCCTGTTTGGGGGCTCGGTTTTCCGCCACGTTTGGCTTGGACGACGAAGGTGTGGGTTACCTCTGTGTGGCCGCGTGCCCTGTGGGTCTCAGCTCCCTCCTCACAGGTTTCCCTGGGGGAAAGCAGAGGCAGTCCCTCCACTGAACAGGGGCCACAAACCCCACCTTAGGGGGCCAGACAGGAGGATGCCCAGACTGAAAGAAATGACCTTGGCGGGGGGGAGGGAGCTGAGTCATTTGCGTTGCTTGGGGTCTCTAGAAGAGATGCCCCTTAGGAATCAAGTTGAGGGAAGAGGCCCAGGAGCTCTGGGGGCACCTCTGGGCTTCTGGGAGGCGCTGATGCCATGGTCACTCCGATATACCCTCGGAGGATGGTTGCCACCTCACCCCAGGGAGGGCTGGCCAGGCCGCCCACGGGGTGGGTAGGTGGCCGGGCCTGTTCTGGTTTTGGAAGCAGGGGCTGGAGAGCCCTGCAGTTTCCAAACCACAGACGCCTCCCCTTTCCAAACACTTTCCCCTCCGTCAGCAGTCTCCCTGGCTCCCCTCCCAGTCCCTACAACTTACCCAACCCCGATGCAAGAGGCTTTTTGATTCCAGAGGCCTGGTTGGCTCTGGGACTGGGGGAGTGGAGGCCCCGGGGAAGCACTGCTTTTCTCTTGTCTAGTTATATACGACCCACTGCCGGTTCCCCCCTCGTCAGCTCGGCTGTTTGCAGCGAAGTTTCTCCCAGCCAACTTCCTGCAAGTTTTTCTTGGCTGCCTGATTTAACTTAGCCCTAATTTAACTTAGGGCTAAGACTGGGAAAGGATGTTGTTTAGGTCTCTTATTCAAGAGAGAGAAGTCGTGGGCCCGCATTTGCTTACATATTTACATATGTGTGGCTGGCCATAGAATTATGCATTCAGTTGGGTATCTGTGTCTACTTACATCATGTTATGTTTAGAATCGTAAATACTGTTGCCGACATACACGTGGTATAGGAGTTATGTATACGAGACCGCATACGAAGCTATACGTGTACTTGGGGGGTGGCTGCAGAGGTGTACCTACGATGTGGTTGTGTGGATGATGCATCTGTGACTGTGTAAATAGTGCAAACGTGGAATGGTCTACGTGAGGGTGCGTAAGTGTGTACTGTGAGTGGCTGTGTGCACAGGACCGCAGACGTGCAGCTGTGTAGGGCCTGGAGGGGCCAGTGTACCGTGGCCACGCCCGTGGCTCTCGGGGTTGTGTGCCGGCGGTCACGCTTCACCGATTGAAGTGTCCGAGAGGCCACGTGGTTGTGGAGACAGAGGTGTGTTTGGGGTTCAGTGTGTGATGGTGTTTGGAGCAGATGTGGGAGGGGATGGGGACAGGCCAAACCTTCCACCCTGCTCTTTTTCCAGGCCAGGGTCCCACTCTCCTTTGCTGCCAAGGCTCAGGGCCGCTTCCCCGCCTGGCCCCCAGCTATGCTGCCCCACCCATCCTACCTCTGTGGTGCCTTTGCTGCACATTCAGCCTGTTCTCTCTGCTTCCACGACTTGGCCCCCTGTCCTGCGCCAGCACCCAGGGTCCACCCCACACTCCACCCTCGGGACAAGCTGGGCCCCTCGCAGCCAGTGCTGAGCCTGATGCTGGGCCAGCCACGGGCGGTGGCCACCCCTGAGTCCAGGCTTGCTGCTGCCTGGGGCTCGGGGCAGACACCAAAACAGGGTCTCAAGTCGTTCAGGCACAAGCTTTGGGGGTAGGGTGCGAGTCATGGGGCATCCCTGCTAATTCTGGAAAAGCCAATGCTTATGACACCCTTCCGGCTGTGCCATCACCATCCGGAACACATACCCTCCACTCTCCTTGAGGCAGGAGAAATGGGCCACCCACTGGCCTGGGGGCTCTGGAGGTGTTTAGAGGTTTGTTCAGAGGCCTGCCCCTCATTTCCCTGCCTCACAAGCTCTTGGATGTTGGAAAGGCCCTGGACTGGCAAACGCCTTGGTTCCTAATCAGCGTGTATGGCAGGCCAGGGGCTTCCCTGGAACAGTCCTGATCAGGCTCAAATCCCAACAGCTAGTGCTGGGGCTGCTGGAGCCCCCAGCTGGACCTGACCCCACCATCAGAACTTGTTGAGGCTGTGCCCTGGGGCCTGGCTGTGTCTGGATTTTGCTCCTTCTCTAGTTTCCCTGGAGCTGGCTGAATGAGGAGATTGTGAGCTGCTCCTTCTTCCTACTCTGTCCCTAAGTAATTGCTAGAATAGCTCTGGCCAAGGGAACCCTTTCTCAGAGGAGGGAGGCAATGAAGGGCAGGGGTGAGGGGATGGCCCAGGCAGAGACCCAAACACGCTCAGTTCTCTCAATCTGAAGCTTCAGGGTAAACGTGGCCTTTCTTAGAGTCCAGCTGCCCCCATAATCCTGTCCTAAGTCCCATGACCCCTGCCCCCAGGACGCTGGCCAAAGACAGAGCTGCCCCCATTGTCACCCCGATTCCCAAGCGGCCCCTGCGCCCCCCTCCCGCCCCCCCCAGCCCCCCACCCCGCCGCCAGCTAGAGTAGGTGAGAGGAAAGTCTGTCTGGTGAATCTGGGTAAGGCGGCCACAGGGCAGAGAGAGGCAGAGCCCGGGAAAGAGGAGAAGTGTTAGTGAAAGAGAGAGAGAGGCAGCAGCTGTGGGTGAGGAGAAGCCGGCCCGCATCGTCACCTCGGCTGTGCTGCCTGTTGACCATCCCGCCCAGGGTCCACCGGCGATCCAGGCGCCGCAGATGGGCCTTGCGTCTCTTGGACACTGGTGTGGGAGATGGCGATGGAACACACAGCCGACGGGAACCAGCGGAGAGAATGGACATGAAGATGAGATGGGATGGGTGGGGAAGGGATGGAGGGGGGGAAGGTTCGCATCCCCAGGTCTTCACCGCCTGGCCTGAGCCCCGGTGGTACATGCCGGCTGGAGGGGCACGGATCTGACCAGTGGCGGCGCTGGCAGGTGGGGAATAACTCAACCAAAGCCACATTGCATGGGTTATGCCCCCGAGCCTGGGAGGGGCTAGGAATTTAGAATCCCAGCAGCTGAGAGGGGAGGAGGAGCCTTGGCTCCAGCCCAGTGCAAGGATGACCCTTGGTTGCGGCCCTAGGGGGAGGACATGGCTCCCCCCATTGCTGGGCAGTGATGGTTCCCAGGAGGGTGTGCCCCACTCTCCACCAGGGCTCACATCCACCTGTTCCCCTGCCCCCACTCACTCAGCAAGTCCTGCTTGTGAACCTGCCACCACGAGCCAGGCACTGCGGGTGGAAGAATAAATGTGCCCAGCAGAGACTTGGGGTCTCTTCCTTGGGGGGCTTATAACTCTCACCATCCTGGGTTGGTTTATGTCTTTGCTTTTTCAGTCACCCCCAGTGGATCAAGTCTGTTGAGGGCTAAGACTCTGCATCTCTGCGTCCCCAGGGCCTGGCACGGAGCCTGGCACGGGGCTGATCCTTCAGAAATCTGAAATGTTGCTGGGTGAAGCACACACAGTAGGATGCCCCAGGCCTTGGTCTGTTCCCTCCCCACATGCTACCCACCGGATTTCTGACAACGGAGGCCCTGCCTCCCAGCTTTTCACGGCTCCACACTCCTCTCATCTGCACAGGTCCTCTGGCTGCTATGGACCAGCTCCACGTGCCCCCCGCCTTCCTATGGGATGCCCAGGTGCATCAGAGGCCCCCACCTCCTGGCACTGCAGCAGGAGGGTGCCAGGCTGCCCAGGTCTGGGGGAGGGAGGCCAGCACTTAAGAGTCAAACTGCCCTGACACAACTGAGCCACATCCCACCAGGGCCTCCTGGGAAGTACTTATTTTTCCAGAGGGAGTAGCCTGTTTGACCTGCTTCTTGTAAGCAGGAGGCCTGGACAAAAGGTTAGGGGTATGGATTCAATCCAGGCTGCACTGCCGGGTTACTGTGTCACCCTGGCAGGCTGCCATCCCTCCCTAAACCTCTGTTTCCTCATCTGTCTTTGGGGTTGACACCACCTGCCCTGGCGTGAAATAAGACAGGGACTGGACAGGCTCTGTGGAATGGAGATGAGGTCCTGTGTGAGGTCAGACTGGGAGGAACCTGGACAGCTGACCTCCTGGGGGTGTGTCCACCTGGTTTCTCTGTGAGCAGAGGAGCTTCACTTCAGCTGATGCCCAGCCTGGGGCCACCCTAGCAGTAAGTGACATTTACCCGGTTTAAATCGGGTACCAAGACCATCTCACCGGAGCCTCACAAAAGCCCCACGTAGCTGGCACTCTCCCCATTCTAGAAATGGGAGGCCAGAGGCACAGGGGTGTTCAGGAACCCTCTGAGTCACACACCTGAGCATCAAGGCGGCACGCAAATCCACGCAGTCTGGCTCTGGAGCCTGGACTCTAGACCCGGCGCCCTTTAGGCACTAACAGTGGAGAATGCCTGGACCCTGGGGCCAATGCCAGCCCAGGGAGAAAGGCAGGTCATTGCCGGTGGCTGCAGGGCGCAGGGCACAGGCAGAGACCCAGGTCTGGGGCTTGGCTCTGCCACTAACTGCTCTGGGGACTCCATGGAGGTGACACCCCTCCAGGCCTCTGCTTCCTCACCTCTGAGGCGATGCGCCTCACGGAAGCACCCTGCCATCGTCGGGCCTGGACCCTCCTCATCAGCAGTGGACAAGAGGGTCTCAGCCTCCACCTCGGCCCTCCTGCCCCCCACTGAAACATTTCTGCATTCTCCACAGCACACCTGGCTTCAGGAGAAACATGAACATACGCCAGAACATCTGATGACAGAAATAAACCGAAACAGCCTCTTTTCTTTCTGAAGCAATGGAGCATGAGCTGTTAGGGAAGCTCTGATGGGACGAAGGCTTCCAATATCTGCCTGTAGAGCTCAGGGGACCTACAATGGGATGGCAACAGGGCTGGGGTAGAGATGGCCAGAGACGGGACCAGCGTGGGCTGATCTCTTAGCCACATGGCTGCCAGTGCAGAGACTGGCGGACACACCACAGCTGTTGGGCCTTGGGCTGGGGTACTGAGTCCTGAGCCCTTCTGTACAGCTGCGGGGAGATGCCCACGATGTGACGATGGAACTCACAGCTGCCCAAATGTTGCCAGGGGTGCTGGCACACAGGTCCTATCAAAGTGTGCAGAGGAACCTATCATCAGGAGGTTCACCCTGAGCACACACGCGCACGCGCACATACACACCCGCCCCCGCCCCTGCTTGAAGGCGGAACCTCCACTGGCTGCCTGGTTCTTACTCCATCGAGGTCAAAATTCTCTATAACCTGTTACTGCTTGTTCTGTGCAAAGCACCCAATCTCTCTTCAAACCAGCCTGGCGGCGTCACTGCCCACGCACCTCTCAGGCTCCTTCCTACCCACTTGGTGTCCTGACGTCTCCACTCTGACTCTCTTGGCGTCACCTTTTCAGGTGGGGCTCCAATTCCACACACACAGACACACATACACCCTCCTAGAACTGCTCACAAGAAAATGCTTCACGGAGAGGCATGCGGCACGGTGGGAAGACCACTGGCGGAGGAGGCCGACCAGGGCTCAAGCCTTATGAGGACAAACAAATACATATCTAAATATTTGCAGCCTCAGTTCCTGCATGTGGAAAATGGAGATGGTGACAGAGCCTTCCCAGGGTGGTGAGGGCATTTCAAGTACCAGGGCAGACACCTAGGAGTGAGTGAGACCTCAGTACACTCTAGGGATTGTTATTTCTGAAAGCCCTGGGATACCCCCCAGAATGTGGAACTGGATAGAAGGTGAGGCCTGGTAACTGCAGACAAAACAGACCGGACCCAGCTCAGGAGCTACGACCCTGCACTGCTGCAGAGGTGCGAGGGAACCAGAGATGAGATGGGGGACAGGCTCAGCCCCTGGGCTCGGGGAGCAGCCAGGAAAGGCCGAATACCTGGCCTGAACATGCCAGCCGTTCTCAATGGGGCCTGGTCTCTGGAAACCTGTCACAAGGCAGACATGCACTGCAGGGGCTGCAGTACTGGTCAAGGGACTGAAATGCATTTACATGGGAGGAAGGGCGGGGCTCCGACTGCCTGCCGAGTAACCGACATTTGGGGGAAGGATGAAGACGGAGCTGGGGCTTGGCAGGCCGCTTATTCTGGCCTGGGCAGTGTGGAATGGGGGGTGGGGCAGGCCTGGAGGTGGCCTGAGCCCCGGGTGGCAGGCACGCATCCCCCTGGCTCTCAGATGTGCCCATTTGGACGGTCTCCACTGACCGTTAGGGCAAGCGTTCCCGCTGCCAGAATAAGGGAGGCTTGGAAGCGACTAGGAGCAGGCAGCCGGGAACAGGGTGGCTCAGACTTGCCGGGCTCTGGCAGCCCGCTCTGGGGAATACCCAAGCCCACGGATAGGCTGAGCAGGCCAGCGCTGGCTGGGGTTGGGAGGAGGGGCAGGCTCCTTGAAATGCACTGGAGAAAACCCCAGAAAAACCTCACCAGGTCAGAGCTAATGAGAGAGGCTGACGGTGCAGGGCTGGAGCCATCCCTGGGTTCCTGCAACACTGAGAAATGATTCACAGACCTGCCCTCCACGTCTGCACCCCTGACCGGGATAAGAGGCACCTGGAAGAGAAGCCTCTGAACAGACTGTGCACGGCAGGAAGTTGTGTGCACAAAGTCCCTTTGGGGTCGTCCCTGTCGCAGAGAGCACAGTGTGGGGTGAGGGGGGCAAAGGTGGATCTCTGTGGGGACCCCCAGAGGAACCCAGGCCTGCTGGTGGGGAGAGGGACCAGCCCTAAAGCCGTTCTCCCCAATCTCTGCCCCAAAGTTGCCAAAGCCTGAGATCCACACCCCACGGGAATCTCCCCTCTAATTTTAGCCCCATGTGGGACCAGTAAGGACAGACCTGGCACAGGAGGTGAGCCTGTGGGTTGGCCTCAGTGACACGGGATCCTGGGAGACGCAGGGGGGGAAACATGATCCATATCGTTTTAGAGCTTCTGATGGTCTTAGGGAGAAGGGTGGGAAAGTTGCATCATCTCCCCGACCCCTTGAACCCACAGGAGCTTACCTTCCCCAGTCTTGGAGGTGTTGATATCTGAGTCGTCCCGAGTACCATTCTGGGCCTCCAGGTAGGTGGCAGGGACCCAGCCCTGTTCCTCAGAGGTGCTCACGAACCACCAGCCTGCAGTGGGGACGGGAGAGCAGCCATGAGAGCCTAGCAGATGGCAGAGGTGGACGGGGCCAGGACGAGGAGGGAAGGAGCAGCGTGGAGGGGAGGGTGCAGAGCCACACCGCCTGGGTGCCTGGCAAACGTCTTGCCCACCTCCAGCCTCCTGGAGCCCAGGCTCCTCGCTGAGAAAGAAGAAAGCAACACGCTCCCTGAGAAGAGGGCCTGATGGACCACCATCCACTCACACAGACATCTGATAACAAAAAAAACTGAAAATGAAATCGACACAATGATATGCCCAACACGTGAAAGTTACCTTGCAGGAAAGGTCACGGGAGCTCTGACTAAACACAGAGATGGTGTAGGGTCCTTCAAGCCCACTAGGACCACCGGTGTGACCCGGAGTTGCACCACTTTCTCTGCTTTTAAAGGCACCAGGGGGTAAAGGCCTCACAGATACGTTCTAATGGTCACTGCTCCTGCTTCCCACCTCCGGTCAGTGGTATTTTCACATCAGTGCTACTCACAGCTGCCCTTCGGTATGTTGACAACTCAATCGCAGTAAGTGGGCACCGCACCCTTGAGTGACCCTTGAGGGTTGTGGCCAAGTGATAACGCCTCATTCATTTTCTTTCCCCTTTGCTGGCTCGTTCATTCATCATTCAAACAAACGCTGAGCAAAGTACTCCAAACTTGGTGGCACAAGTTCTCTTTTCTGTCCATGACAGAGCTCAGCATTTCCAAACCTGGACTGTAGCCTGTCAGGAGACCCCAGGGTTCCTCCCTGGCCAGCACTGAGGCCCCATCACCACGTGGCCACAGCAGTGAGTAGCTGCCCGAGGAGGGGCACAAGGGGACCTCCAGGCGCTCCCAGCTGGGCTTAGCCCTGGGAGGTGGTGGAGGCTGCCTGGGGGCTGCTGTGACAGCAATGGAGACGGACGGAGGACAAAAGTCCCACCACTGCACAGGACCTCCACACCCAGGGTCAGCACCTAGGTCTTCAACTTCTGATGCTCCACGTCACAGGCCTGGGAGAGCAAACAGCCTGTGGTCTAGTCTTGAATGCCCACTGCACCCCACCCTTTCCAGGAAGTTCCACAACACTCTGCGAGCAGCTCTGCAAAACCTATGAAACACCATGACAGCTGTGTGATACCATAACGTTGGATACATGTCCTTATACGTTTGTCCACACCCACAGAACGTCTAGCACCAAGAGCGAACCCTAATGTAAACTAGGGACTCTGGGTGACTAGGATGTGTCAGTGCAGGTTCATCAGTTGTAACAAGTGCACCGCTCTGGTGCAGGGGGTTGAGGATGGGGCAGGCTGTGCATGTGTGCGGGCAGGTGTATGTGAGACACCTCGGTACCTTCCACTCAATTTTCCTGGGAACTTAAACTGCTCTAAAAAAACTAAAGTCTTCAAAAAAAAAAGTTAAAGAGAAAGTCTCAGACAACGATCTGGACTTCTGTGGTCCAGCCCTTAGCTGGGTCACTGCCCCTCCGGAACCTGGGATAGATGCCTTCTTTCCCTCCCTCTGCCAGATTCAGGTCAATTCCCTTGTCCTTCCCCAAGTGGGATGGGTGTGGGCCACCTTCACAACACCCACGGCCACGTGCACCCTCTGGGCCTACCTGCCTGGGGCAGCACCGCCATCCTCCCTGACGCCCAGGCCACAGCGGCACAGCTACTCAGGAGGCTGTGAATGAGAGACTCCAAAGAAGCCAGAGGGGTCTGTGCCTGGGATGCCTTCTCCCCCTCTCGCAGGCTCTGGGGGAACGCTCTCAGGAACCCCAACAGTCTGTGCCAAGAGGCCCCGGGCCCAGTGTTCTTTCACAGAGCCCGACTGGAGGTCACGGGACGGAGCTCCCGACCTCGCAGAGGCTCCTGCCCTGCGGCCCTGCCTCCTAGGCCGCAGGAGTCGTTCTGACTGGTCTGCCACTTCCCCGGACACTGTAATGGTTCAGGGGCTTTTCCAGGAACCGACATGGGTGCTCTGGCGACCTGAACCCTAAATCCCACGTTAACCAGGAATCGCAGGGGTGTGTGGGAAGAGACGTCCTGAGGGTTAAGTCAATAAAACAAAGTCAGGAGATGGAGAAAGTCAGCCTTGACCATCACTTGACCCTGGGGCGCAGGTGCGCTAAAGCTAGGCTGCCTGTTGGACTTGCTGGTCACAGTGAGCCAGTGACCTTCCTGGGCTGTTCACCTGAGCCAGAGCGGGTTTCACTCACTCACTAATGCCACCCGTACCCAGCAATCAGCAAGGTTCGTGATCGAAGGTCCACCATCATGAGTCAAGTCTGGAGAACAAAACCCAAGCCCACTGGGCACCTGCCACCACAGATTTTGGCACGTAAGGATGAAGCCCTCTGAGCCACTCTGGGTCAGCGGTCCCTCCCCGACCTCCCGCTCACAGGATAAGCTCCAAGAGCCCCAAAGAGCAGGCACCACAATTCCCAACTTGGAGTCACTTTTGGGAGGGTCTGGAAGGCTGAGGCTCTCACATGCCTGCCCAGGTCCAGGTCCCAATGCCAAAAGCTCAAAGGTTTTGGTTACCACACCCTCCAGACCCTCCCCAAACTGTGTCCGGGGAGATGAAAGACCAGTTCCAGCCTCCAAAGCCAAGCCAAGTCCCAGTTGGCCAAGGAAGTACCCTGAAGGCCTAGTCTCAAAGGGAAGCTCTTCTTCCCAGGAGAGGGTTTCCCCAGGATGGGCCCAGGCTGGGGCCGGGGACTTATCGTCATCAGACAGAACAGGGATGTGCCTGGAGAAACCGTGGAGCTTGGATGCATGTGTCTCGTGGAGGATTTGCCAAGATCTCTCCCATGCCCAGCCCCTCTCAGCCTCTCTTTCTACACCAAGGTGTGTCCACCGCCAACTCCACCCTCTGAAACAACCTACTTGCTGTCTCAGTGGGAGCACAGTCTTTCCTTTCCTTGTGTGACCCCATGGCTTCCCAGGAAAGAAGGCGACTTGGTGATCTCCTGGACGGCTGGGCTGACTGTCTCCTAAGCCCTCTCTCTACTTCTGGAATCTGGGCTCCAAAGTCATCCTCAGCAGAGGTGAAGGAGGCAAGTCCCTCCATGGGTACCAGGAGGGCTTGCAGGGCATTTCTCCATCAGTCCCATCCAAGCTTGTCTGTGTCCTCACACGTGTGAAGCAAGCCCACCAGCCTGCTGACCTCTTGCTGTCCCCTCTCCTGACCTCTTCCCATGGCCATCTCCAGACCAGGGCCCTGCAAGGACCTTTCTCCTTGGCTCCAAGGGCCTCATAATCCCAGGATTTAGGGCTCTTTTCTGCTGGTGGCATCGTTTCCCTTCCCTCCTAACTTCACCCTTTGGGAACCTTCCACTTTCTGCTCTCTCCCTCCCCCCAGGAGCCAGAGATCGGTGATGGAGGGATGGATCTGGACTTGTCTGCGCAGACAATCTCCCAGGGGCAGGGCAGGGCTGGCCCTCCTCCTACCTCTGTTGCATAGGCCTGGCACTCAGGGTGAGCTGGGCAGGGACTTGCTGAGAGGCCCAGAGTGTGGCCGAGGTGCCCAATGGGCAGGGCGGCACGATGGTCTGTGCCTCACACCACCTGGGTGCCCCTTGGAGGTGCCAGGGCTGTCTCTGAGTCCTTCCCACCTCAAAATCTCTGTTGCACCACAAGTTTCTATGGAGCGTGGGCCACATTACGGGCTGACTGTGATCATCGCACCCCAGGGCAGCAACTTAGGATCCTATTCTCCTGCTGCGCTCCCAAGACCTGGGGCTGAGACTCTCAACCATCCTCACGGCTTTGTGGACCTGCCGACCTTGCCCGAGAACACCGGCCTGGACTTCCACTCCAGCCCTGACACACGCAGAGCTGGGCTGTGTGGCTTCAAGTCTCAGGTCCCTCCTGCACCAGGCCCTGCAGAGAAGAGCCTGCCACTGGCTGGGCTGTAGGCACCTCCGCAAAGCAAAGGTGGACAGGCTCGGTCACCGCCCAGGCAGGCGTGGCTGAACAGGGGCAGAGGTGCCTACCTAGCTACACGCAGACCTCCTGGGAGCCCTGGCGTGAGTCACACAATTGGGCCTCTGGGGGAGGCTCCCGGGGCCTGCACCCACCCACGGCTGCTGACAGGCCTCTCCCAGATGCCAGCAGCTCAGACGTCAGATGCTGCAACCGGGGCTCCTGACCAAGGTCACCGCTGCTCCACCAAGGAGCGATTAGAGCCTGAACCACCGTGGGGGCAGCCTAGCTGGCCAAGAGGACTCAGGCGTCAGCCAGCCCTCGGGGCTCCCACCGTGGGGGCAGCCCAGCTGGCCAAGAGGACTCAGGCGTCAGCCAGCCCTCGGGGCTCCCAGGCTCCCCTCCAGCACACACCGTGTCCTCATGCCTGCAGAGGCACATAGTGGGAGGTAGGTTCTGTCCACACACACACGCGTGGGTGGCTGCCTGTGCACCTGGAACAGAGCTGTGTCTGTACACGCATCACATGATATGATTACAGTCAGACGCTAAGAAGAGCACTCTGTCAGGAGCTAACGTGACACACATTACCTGATGTCATCTCCAAGAACCTTACATTTTACTATCGTCATCATTCCCACTTGACAGATGTGGAAACTGAGGCAGAATAGATCACAATTAGGAAGACGCAGGGCTGGACTCAAAACCAAGCAGTCCAGCTTCACGACCCACATTCTTAACCACCACAGACGTGGAGTAGGTGCACATCTGTGGCACGCGAGAGCTCAGGGGTGACTCCCTGAGAACGAGTGTCCCTGAGTCCTTGTGCTTTATATATGTGCCACCTGTGAGTGGGCACGTCCACATCGCCGAGGGTTTGCTTTCTGTGCGTACACCATGAGTCCAGTCGCAGGTTTGAGAGTCTATGTCTACAGGTGAGGATCCTCTGGAGGAAGAGGGTAATAATTAGGAATCTAGGGTCAGAAAGACTCAAATTCAGGTCCTGGCATGCAACTTCCTAGCTGTGTGATCTGGGGAAAATTGCTAAACCTTTATGAGCTCAGTCTC